TCCACACGGGATACTGTTCAGTTCGCCGTCCTCCCTTTTCTTTTTGACATACTGTTGTGACATTCCCTCTGTGAAGTACCCAAGCTGCTTGTCTTCCACCAAAGAGTGCTTTATTACCAGAACCTGTGAAAGCCACACCTGCACACTGTCGCACGCTGTCCCACCCCGAGGTACTTGGGCCACCTCAGACTTGCCAGAGAATTTGAATGGAAGCTTTAGACGACTCAGGAGGAGAAGCTGGTGTCCGAGTTGGAAGGCGATGGCGGGTCCTTCCTTTCCGATGTCATTTAGGGACTGAAGAAGTGGAAGGCTGTGCGCTCCTGCGTGGCCCAGCCAGGCAGAGTAAAGTAGTGTTTTCCTCTAGACATGAAGAAACAAGCCCGCATGCACACACGCACGCACACTTGCACACACACGCACGCATGCACACTCACACATGCACACACGCACACACACACACACATGCACACACATAGTGGGGCTTTGCCCCAGGAAACCGCCATCTCACATCGTGGTGGCTTTAAAAAGAAAACTATCAACAGGTTTTCAGAGTCTTTCTGAACCGCCGTGGGTTTTCCTCCTGAGCCATCGGGCCGAGGCCACCCCGCGGCTGACAGGTGTTGCTTGGGGCTTCAGTAGTTGGCAGTGAGCCCCTACCGCTGCCTTTGGTCAGGGAGTCCAACAGTAACTGTGCCTTGTCCCCTCACCTCCTGGAGCACCACCGCGGGGGCTGTGACCACAGCAGTCACACAGTTTATCTGCTGCTTAAAAAAACGGGGCCCATGAAGAACATTTTGCAAGCACCTTCCCTGAGGAGCGAGCGCTTTTCCTCTGTGGTGACCACACTTTCCTGGCTAGTCTAGAAAGGGCGCTATCGGAAGGCGGCTCCGGGCACCACCTTCCTCCAAAGACCAGATGAATGTATGGAGGCGGGATCCCACGCACAGAGCAGCCTTGCCCATGAGTGGGACGTGGGACAGGATGAAGTCATCGAGAGGTGGCTGCGCCTGTTGCAGGGTTTCTGCCTTGGAGAGAAGCGTGGCATGTACAGGCACTGAGGGCAAAGGTAGGGTGCCAGTATTTCCACATCCAGTCCTATCAGGCCAGCTTCTAAACCTTAGGGACTAGGTCACAGGAAAGCAGTGGTTTTCTGTGCCTGGAGGCAGACAGGCCCAGGAGCTGGCTGGGAGGAGGAGCACCCGTGGGCTGAGGCCAGGCTGAGCACGCCAGGAGTGGGCTGCAGTGTCTCAGGGACACCTTGCCAGGGCCACCTCCTCCCCAACTAGCCGCATGCCCATCTGAATCAGGCTCTCTCCTGCAGCAGAATGAGCATGCATCTACCCACATGCTCCTACCAAGCTGGCCCCTCGTGTGGGCAAGCCAGCTGGGTTTGGGCCAAAGCCTTTGGTGACCACAGCGCTTTCCTCTAAGTCGCCTTTTTGTGTCGGCCTCTCAGCTCTCCAGCTAAAATCGCTATCACTGTGGCTCTTGCCAAACATCCCTGTGTCACTAGCTCACTGAAATGAGTCCGAGGCTGCTTTGGAAGACACATTCCTTGGGGTGCCAGGTAAGCAGGGCCAGGGCCCAAGAAGGAGCTCATAGCAACATTACTAAGCTTATGGGGACATGTGTAGGATCCAGAAGGCTCTGGGTCTGACCTGCTGTGAATAAGAGCAAACCCCGTCCCACCTGAAACCACAAAACACCCACATCTTCTGGGCCTCCAACTTAGGGGTCCTGCTGAAGACCCTGTTGCTGTGGAAGATGAGGCAGTGCTCATCAGGCTGAGCAACGAGCGAGCCTTAGATAGCTTTGAGAGCACACCAATCCCGCTTCCAGGGAAAGTGAAATCAGAAACAAGTATTGATAGGTGCCCTTGACTCAGATCATCAAGAGTCAGGGAGAGACCCGGGGTGGAGTGTCTACAAAACTGGGCTCCTGGAAGTGTGGACAGACCCATGGAATATGAAGACAGACTCGAACCCTGCTCCCTACAGGGGACAGAGTCACGGTGAGCCATGCCTCATTCAAAGGTGGCCTTACTTGCCCAGCGTGGCAGCTTTACTTGTCTCTAGACTTTTCTGGTTACGAGCTTGAGCCTTTCACCTCCCCCCATCTGCCCCACCCACCCGCTGCCCCTGTCCCGGGGTGTTTTCTACCTCTTGGTTCAGGCCCAGACTTGTCTCCGAGGTCTTCGCAGTGTCCCCCTGGGGCCCCACGTGCCTGCTCTGGGGCACAGTGTGGGCCTGCAGGCCACGGGGGCTGCGGGTGCTCCGGGTGCCCTGTGCCAGGAGTTCTGGAGCCTTCTCCCCTCTGTAGAGTGGCCGTCTGTGACAGGTGAGCAGTGTGCTTACCTGATGTTCTAGAAGGACCCAGCTGCTGCTCTCTCTCCCTGTTATCTTCCCTTAGTGCATTTAAAAAGCAATGCTCATCAAACTTCCACCTTAAAAACATGGAATTTTCCAAATAGTTCTTAGCAACTGAGATGTCCTGGTGAGGCCCCTGCTGCTCCTCCATTTCCCCCGCCTCTAAGTGGAAATACTAGGGACGTGTCTAAAAGACTGGACAGTTCGCCCATACTGTGTAGGACATTACCTCCTTATCACCCGTAGAGAGTACTGCAGTTTTATATTAATTATTTGCAGACTTTTACCTAATGTGCACTCATGTACAGATTATTAAAAGTTTTAAAATATAACTGATTAATCAGTATTTGAGCAATCATTGTTTTGATTTTTTTATTAAAATGTATATTTCTAATCATATTTTTTAAAGCTGAGAGAACTGGTTGAATGTTTATTTTCCTGACGGTATTTTTAAGATACAGCTTCATAATGGCCTGCAGACTTTGCATATATATGTGGTTTGATACATACTGTTGCATTTGAAAATCTTGTGTATTGGAAATGGTTTTATACGAAACACTGAATAGTGGAAATTGTACAATTACAATCGTGTAATTAAAAGTATTAACCAAAGAGGCTTCCGGTTTCTTCACTTACTGAGCATTCTGTCAGGGTAGCCGGTGTTGGAATATAAAGCAGGTGTACCCTTCTTTGTTGGTTTGTCAGGGCCACCAAAACAGCTCCACAGCCGAGATGGAGTCCAGAATGTCCTCTCTCCCAAGATCAGGGTGTGGTAAGGCTGGGTCTGTCCCGAGGCCACCACCTAGCTGGGCCCTCCCACGGCCCTCCTCTGCCTCCCTGTCCCTGGTGCCTCTCTGTCCTCATCTGTAAAAGCCCTCGCCAGGCTGGACTCGGTCTTACCCAGTGGCCTCCGTTTCCTTAGCCCCAGACACAATCAGACCTTAAGGTGCCGAGGGGAGGGCTTGAGGGGACTTAGACTTCCGGGGACACGGGAGTAAGACAAGTGGGGACTCCCGTACAGAGTCATTGCACACACCCTCCCCTTCCAGGAGACCAGGACATTAGGGGTGTGGGTCACAGGCGGAGGCCCCCCTCATAGGAGCTTCTAGGGCTGGGCAGGAGTGGTCCCGAGCCCCCTACGCCTGACCTGTCACCCGAGATGCCAGCCTCCATGCCATTTCCCCACTTCCCTCCTCATGGTCCCTCGCTGGGCAGGATCCTAAGACCCAAAGCCCCCACCTCATAGAGGTTGTGTCCAGAACTTGGGACACTCCTGAGTCCTGTTCTGCTCCTCAAGGACCTGGGCTTTGCTTCACACTGGGACACAGATTTTCAAAGTGAAAATCACACAAACCTGTCTCCCTGCCCCTCCAGACTCCCGCACTTTGCTCTCCAGGGTGGAGCAGCAAGTGGCTCTGTCCTCTGTGCAGAGCTCCTCATCTGCTTGTCCCCCTACAGTGTCCCCTGGGGCGTGTCAGGTGACAGGCTGTCCTACTGACTGTGAGGCACATAGCTTCAAATAAATTAGCCGTGAATTTTAGGGAATTGTCTCTAGACGTCAGGTAAAGATGGATTTTGTAGCAGGTGTGGCGCCTCCGGATCTGTTTTTCCCTTGTGTGTCCATAATGCTGTTATTTTAAAAGAAACAAAATATTTTGACTGGAAGGGGGACGTCCATTCAGCAGAGGTAAGTCTCTTGTGAGTGGTTTGTGCACAGACCAGGCCGGGGGTTGTCAGCAGGTGGACGCGCCCCTTGGTGAGGCTCTGTTATTGAGATGGCAAGTCCTGGGTGTGCCACCTATTCTGCCACCTTGGGGACCTGTAGTCTGCCTCTGAGCCTCACCTTGCTCACCTGTGGAACTGGCCAGTGAGTGTCCGGTTTGGATTACAGGAAGGGCCTGCCCAGGGCGACTGGCCTCGGCTCTGTCTTCCCCTCCCCAGGCGCCTGTGGGCACTCGCGGGTCACGGGAAGGAGTTCTCACCCTTTTCCATAGTGTCCTACGACAGCATTGTCTGCCTTTTGGCCATGTGGTGGCTGCCCGCCTTCCTGGGGATAGCTCTGTGTGGATCTGTCCTGTGTCCGTGTTTCCTGGGCCAGGCTGGTTCTTTCCTGGGGTGAATTGTGACAGGAGAGGTTTCTGGGTCACAGGCCGGGCATCAGAGCGCAGTTTGACACAGTGGTCAACATGGGGCGTGGCCCAGACTGAGCGCCAAGCCCCACTCCGCCCACTTGGTAGCCTTGTGGCTGGGCCCTGTCACTCCCCTCCCTGACCTTGCTTCCTCTTGTCTGAAGTGGGGTGACATTGTCACTCTGCCAGGCTGTATGTGGAGAGAGCAGGACATGGGCCCCAGAGCCGAAGGGTGGTGGGCCGCTGTCCTGACCCTCAGCTGTTTCATGATCTGGTTTGGGACACTTTGTGACCTAAGAGGCGGGCATGGTAGGGCCCTGGCGTCCTCTCGGTATCTCCACCAGCTTATTAGAGGAAGTGGGTCCTCACGGGTGAACCCTTCCCAGCTCCTCCCCCAGCGCCCTCCCTGGGGACACTGGCCCGGGTGGACATGGAGGAGGTCTACCCTGCGGCTCACCGGCCACCTCGCCCCCACCCCCCTAACTGTGCCTCATCTCTTTGCCAGCAAGTCTGCATGACTGTGACGAGTTCCTGGGTGACGAGTGCTCTGACCACGGCGGAAACCCCAGGTGAGGAGGCCCCGAAGGGACAGGCTGCCTGCCACCAAGGTGCTGGCTGTGGCCCTCGGAGTCTCAGAATGGCCACATGCCATCTTTTTAAATAGAGGTTTGGGGTGGGAAAGAGGGAGGTGGCATGGTGTTGAAAACACCGTCCCACCCTGGGCGAGTGGCTCTGAAACAGGCCACTTCCCACGCAGGACGGTTCCCTGCGTGGGACTCTGGAAAATGTGGCAGTCGTGGACCCCTGCCTACCTGGCGCCGCACATCCCCAGCCAGTGGAGAGCGACACCCCCACCCCTTCCCAGCCAACTTCACGGGCTGCTCTGTCCCCACCTGGGACCTGCCAGTTGGCTTCAAGTGGAGAATTCACGGTGCAAGGCCGTGATGGCCACAGCAGATGTGCTCGGGCCCTGCCGGAGGGACTTTCCTGCCCTGTTCTGGTCCAGCCCAAGCCCGGTGGGCAGAGGAAGGGCAGAGGAGACCCTTCACTTACAGAGGGCACAGGACACTGAGGGTCCCCGGGCCCCTGGGGCACCTGCCTTCCTGTCCTGCCACAGCCTGCACCCGGGGTGGGGCAGCCCATGTGTGTCTCATCCCCGGAGGGAGGTGTCTGCTGTCACCCAGCTGGAGCCCACACGGGACCCCTGTGCTGGCTGGGTGGCTGCGTGTCCTCAGGAGCCATTTGGTGTCCCCTGGCATTGTGGGGCAGGACAGGAGGGGAGCTGACTGGTGGCCGCCCGGGCCCTCTTTCCCTTGGAGCCTTCTGCTGTGGCCAGGAGTGTGACCAGCCTTAGACCCGTCCCCACCTGCCGCTCCCTGAGACGGGGCTCCGATGGACCTTCAGCTCTAATTGTCCCCTCCCTCTCCTCCCAGCGACAGTTGGCTGTCTCGGGCTATCACCTTCCTGGACCGGCTTTTAATGTGGCTGGGTATCCGCAGGGACTAGACCTCTAGAGACCATCTCCCGGACCCCGTGCTGCGGTTCCCACTGCAATTGAAGCCTGGGCCCCAGGCCTGAGCCTCAGCCTCCACCACGTCTCTGCCTCCTTCTTCTCTGGGTCGGGACCACAGCCCCGCCTGCTGGAGGTAGCCTGTGGCACGACTGGGTGGGGAGGCCCCTGTCCAGCAGGCTTTGCTTCTCGAACCTGCTGACTTGAGGTGCCCCTCTGCCTCCTTAGCACTGTGCCAGTCTCTGAAGGACGCATTCCACAGGCCCACTGTGGCGTCCCTGGCTGGGCACTGCCGGTCCTGGGGACACTGTTCATGAGGTGCCTGTGCCTCCCGGGGAACCTCTGTCAACTCAGAGCTGGGTGTGTCCTAACGGTCACAGAGTCCCCTTCCCCTTACCACAGGGTGTTCCCCCTCTGAGGCCTTCTGTCCACCTTTCCCTCTTACTGGCGGGTTCTCTGGTGTCCCATTCACTTCCACTCTCCAGAACCACCAGGACGACAGGTTCTGCCCAGTTTGCATCCTGAGGGTTCCGGCCTCACCACAGAGCCTTCCACAACCTCCTCCCTGGTGCTCTGCTGCACAGGCATCAGCCAGTGTCCGAGAGGGCCCAGCACAGTTGCATAGGTTATTCATCACACAAGTCCAGGGAGTGTCATGCACACCAAGGTTGACGTGACATGACAGTGTGCAGGGTGACTGCTCTTGAGGAAAGATTTGTCCCTGCCTCAGGATGTGAGCACTCGGTGGGGTTATGTAAAGTTGATGTCACCACATTCTCACATGACAGATGTCCCCCAATTCTCAAATGGCTTTGTGTGTCACAACTCTGGAGTCATCCTTCTGAACTGGGGACATGTTTGCAAAGAAACGATACTGAGGAGGCTGCCATCTGCTTCACTGACTGGACCCGCTCATCCCGCAGGGGCCTGCTGTGCCCACAGGACTCGTGTTCATCAGGGACGTGCCTGACACCTAGAGTCACAGGGAGCCTATGGCACAGGCAGTCACCTCCCTGAAGCCTTGGAAGGGCAGAGCGTCTGAGCCGACTCCCAGGTGCCTCGCATGTCACCTGTGCAGGAGTCCAGGGAGTGTCCTGTGCCACTCCTGGTCACGCCTGGTGCCACCCTGGCTGCAGGGAGAACCCGAGGGCGGGCCTGCCAAATGCCCCTGCTGCACCTGGTGCCTGCTGTGTGTCACTGGGCAGGGGCAGCCTCCTTTCCAGCCCCCCCCCCACAGCCCGGGTCCCAGCAGGGGTGGGGGAGATGGCGTCCTCCCTGGCTACCTAACAGGCTTGTCCCCCAGCAGTCCCACTGCCACGGATGCAGGGCAGCAGGCGGGTGGCGGTGGCCCTGAGACCTGGCGTGAGCTCCAGGCGCAGCTATGTGCCGGGGGCGCCCCCACCACGGCTGGGTCAGGACAGAGGGTCTGTGGGAGCCTAGGGGTCAGGCGCCAAGGAAGTGTCTGAATGAAGTTGAGGTCACCAGGGTTTTATTTAATTTTATTATTCAAATACTCCTGCTTGGAGGATCACAGGTTCAAGTCCAGCCTCAGAAACTTAGCAAGGCCCTAAGCCACTCAGTGAGACCCCGTCTCCAAATAGTGTTGAGAAGAGGGGCCGACGGGCATGGGGCTCGGGCCAAGCACCCTGGGTTCAATCCCTGGTACAAAACCCCCAAACCCCAAAATCCCACTCCTGGTTCTCTCCCACTCCCTCTTCCACACCAACCCCTGTCCCCGAGCCACAGCACTAGCGGGTCACTTCCAGCCATGCTGGGGAGGACTTGGGACAGAGCAGGCCCTGGAAGGTGTGGTCCTTGCAGAAGACCCAGGGGACTCCGCAGTGGGTGAGGAATAGGGCAGATGGGCCCCTGCAGAGGCGGTGAGCGCGGGGAGCACTGTGGGGTGGGCTGCTCCCCTCGGAGGACACCTCTGTTCTTTCCCTGTCTGAGCCGCGGCCAGCTCCTCAGCGGGCCTTGCCGGCGCCACAGGGATGGATTCCAGGAAAGATGCCCAGGTCTGTGGAAGACCCATGCTGGAGGGGCCAGAGTGCCTGAGGGCCTGGCTTGGGTGCAGGGGGGACACCAAGGTGACAGCAGCTGGGGTGGGTGTGCATCTCCCCGGAGCCACTCCTGGCCAGCAGCAGCCTCCAGGTGAAGGCCACCTCTTCCCAGCCAATGGGTCAGAGTCACAGCCAGTCTAGTGGAACACCCTCCTGGGGGGTACAGACACTCCTGTTAGGAGTGTCTCAGGGCAGCTCAGGGCCTGGCCCCAGCTCAGTCACTAGGGGCAGCCCTGGGACCTCACCCTACTCCCCTCCCACACCTGCTGCGGCTGGGGCTTCAGAGGGATCAGATTGTCCAGGGGCTAGACAGAACTCAGAGTTGCCCGACACCCACTTTCCCAGAGCGCCTTGGGCCTGGCAGACTGGTTTTCCTCAGTGGGGTCGACCCGCTAGGCTTAAGTCACCAGCTGGAAAACTGCTCCGGGTGCCCTGCCTCATGCCAACACCCCTACACCTGCCCCTCTAAGGAGCCTGGCTGGGGACTTCCAGCCACAGGGTCCACACTGGACTGTCAGCCAGTGACCTCTTCTGCCCTTGGCTTCTGTCCTCTGGACACCCAGCACAAGCTAGAAAGGCCACACACAAAGCCATGTCCCTGTGTCCCACCCGGTCAGCAAGGCAGCCCTGGGGAGCAAGCAGAAGCCCATTACAGGTGCAGAAGTGGCCAGGCGTCCACTGGCCCTGACCACAGGGCAGCACTGAGGCATAGGAATCTCCAGGGTTTGAGGATGCAGCCGCCAATGTCAGCTCCAGTGCTGTGGCCTGTCAAGGTCATTCACTGCACCAAAGGGAATTTTCTCAGAAGGGATCTTTAAAGTGACAACGTGACCACCTCAAACCTGCTGAGTAATGACACCGCCCTCGCATGGCGCCAGCTGGGGATTCTGGCCTGATGTCCACTCAGACCTAATGTAGGTCAGGCCTGCAGCGTCTTCCCCAGAGAAAGATCAGTCAAAAGACACCTCAGTAAGAGACAGCAGGCGGTGCCCAGGGCGGACGACCCCTCTGTGGCTCAGGAACGACCAAAGGACTGTTTCTGCACACGCTTCAGAGGCAACACCAACCTTTATTCACACCTGGTCCAGTTCAGAGCCACCAGACCCGGGGCCAGCGCTCCAGTTCATCCCAAGCACAGAAGGCTGGACGCCGTCCCCTCTGTGGAGTGGCTCGCCCCACTCCAGCCACTGTCACCACTGCCCCGCTGGGGCCTTGGGTCTCGGCCACATTCAGGTGGGACTCCAGCGAGTGCCGAACCTCTGAGAGGCTCCGAACTTCACCCGAGTGACAGGCCAGCACGGGGTCAGGAGTGTTTCAGGGCTGCCCGGGGGCGCTGGGCGCGCAGCTGTGGGCTTCTGACACTGGTTATGAGGGGAGGCTGCGCTCTTCTCTTGCCAGGAAGTCACTTCGTTGGTGGGTTAAATAACGGGACTTAAGTGGCATACTCAACGTTCATCCTGAAAACCGCCCAGACGCTAAAGGTCCACGTACCGGTACACTAAGTGTGTGTGCGACACACGGAAACCACGAGGTAGTTTAAATGACCATTAAAAAACCAATACTGCTCTTTGTCACAGATGGTGACCACTGGCTGCATAATAGCTGTTTAAGTCACTGGTCAAATGAAAACCAGAACTCAGGAGTTTGAGGAGAGTAGAACATTTACAAGTGGACAGTCCACGCGGAGGCTGGGACTCTTCCGTAGCTCAAGTTCTGGGTGTCCCTGGGACTCGGGGGTCATTAAGGAACGCGACAGGTGGTGTTTATAGCATGTCTGCTCCCCGCACCCCTGGGGAGCTGGACACAGTATGTACACGGTTTACACATTATTCCCGAATTCACTTGGAGTCCTTAAATAAAAAAAAAAAGCCTTCTTCACCTTGGGAAAGTGCCTGCCTAACCCAACTCGAGCGGGGACTTGCGCTCAAGTGCGGGGAGACTCCTCGGCCCACACCCCAGACCAGAAAAGTTCCAGTCACACGACACGGGAAAGCAACATCTATTGTTCTTAGAGTCTGACTCTTCCCACAGCAAAAGTCTCTTCATAGGTCCTCCAGTGCTGCCCCAGGTTGCCAGGGGACGGCTCCTTCAAGCCAGAGCAGGGAAGTCTTCAGGGTCGTCGGGGTTGGGGGCAACGTCTCGGGTCTAGAGCAGAAAAGAAAGGTCAGGCTGCGTGCCCTCCTACCATCCCCTGTGGCTGTCACCAGGAGCCCCATGTGACAGGAGCTCCCCTTGGACACCCCTGCACAGGGTGGGGGGTGCCTCCCATTTCCTGCCAAGTGAGGATCTGGTATGAACTTCATCCAATAAACATTTGCTACCCGCTGGCCCACACAGGATGGGCGAGGGCAGCGTCTGTTCCCAGGAGCTCATAGCCTTAGGGACAGACACTGAGAAGGCTGAGACCTTCAGTCAGATGTCCCCATCAGGGACCTCCAGTACAAAGCAGTGGGGCAAGTTTCCCTGTGGTAAGCCTCAGGGTGGAGGCTAGACTCTGCCACTGGACAGGAACGAAGAATGGACCTTAAGGTGCACCTGGCCTCAAGTGCACCCAAAACAAAAGGCATGTTTTTGCATTTAGAGGAAAAAAACAAAACCACAGGCACTTCTGTGGGGCGGATCCCCTGGCAGCCGCAGGGTATTCAGGGGGTATTCAGGGGGCCCAAGGACCGCTCCAGACCAGCGGGGCCCAGGATGGCCCAGGACGGCCCAGGACAGCCACAAGCCCCAACCCTGAGTGTACATGTGTGTTCAGAATACATTTAGGACATGCTGAGCGTGTGCGTGGTGCTGGGGAACCATCATGAGCAGATGTGGTTTCTGTCCATCGGCGATGCCGATCCGTGGCCACCAGTGAGCTACAACTGCAAATGGACAAAACGCCCAAAGGAAGAAGCTCCTTGGTCCCAGGCCCTGGCTGGTCCAAGAGGAGATGTGGCTTAAACTGGGGGAAGGGAGGCTGGACCTCCCTGAGGTCAGCAGGCGGATCAGCACACTCAGGCCCGGTGAGGACATGCAGAGGGAGGCTCTCCGAGCAAGCGGGGAGGAAGTGGGGACAGAGCCCCCCCCCCAGAGGGCCCTGGAGCTTCCGGGGGCTTCTGCCCGGCCGGACAGCACTGTCCAGTGGTCTGGAGTCAGGCCCGGAGATCTCGGCCTACACTCGCTGGAGGGAAGGTTCCTACAGGTCACAGAGGACACTGGAGCTCCCTGCAGTAGCCAGGGCCAGGGCTACAGAGGCTCTGCTCCTGACTGACCTCTGGAAGGCTCCATCACCCTCCCAGACGCCCTCACGCCAGCCATGCTGCCTAGAGGAGAGGCAGCTGCAGAACTGACACCCTCCAAAGTCACCACTGCGGGCTCAGCGCGTCCCGGTCCCCTCGCCTCCCTCAGAAGGCCACCCAGGGCTGCAACACATCCAGACACTCACCACCACCTCTGCTCTGGGTCCATAGTTCTCCACCCTTCTGATCCTTCCCCGGCCTCCCCGGGTGCTACCTCTGGCTCCGCGCCCAGGACGAGGCAGGTTCCCAAAGTTGATCTCCAGCTGGGACGTGATGTCATTGGCGGCTTTCCGGAACACGTGGGCCTCGTCCTCGTCGGCCTTCACCATCTGAAACACACGCCAGCATCTCACATGCACAGCTTCCCCGGGGTCCCCTGGCTGGTGTCCAAGGGACAGCGCACCTCCCGAGTGTGCCCTGGGAGCTAAGGTGCCACTGTGGCTGGGAAGAGCCATCCCTGCAGTGTGTCCCTGTCCCTGGGCTGCAGAACTGGACAAAAGTGGCACTGCTCCGGCTCCTGCTTGGTGAGTCCTGTGCGCGCCACAGTCTCAGGAGTCTCAGTCTTTGAACTTCTGTGAGTGTGGTGAAGATGTGAGGTCTGACGTGACCAACAGCAATCAGTAGGAGTGGTTTAAGTGTACTTGGCTGAGGTCAAGGTTTTAATTTCTGCCTACTGTTTGTTTTATTTGTTCACAAATATTACTTTGATAAATAAGGAAAATATCTATTCCACAAATAGAACTTGATAAAGAAAGTCCCTTCAGGGGCTGGGGTTGGGGTTCAGTGGTAGAGCGCTCCCCTAGCACATGCAAGGCCCTGGGTTCCATCCTCAGCACCACATAAAAATAAATAAAACAAAGGTATTGTGTCCAACTACAACTAAAAAAGAAATATTAAAAAAAAAAAACAGAAAGTCCCTTCAACATGGGCACTGACTGGACACATACTATGTGTTAAGAACCACACAACTTACATTGAGAAATTCTGACTCCAGATGTGTGGGAATTTTGTAAACAACCAAGTATGGTTACCCGAGCATCGCTACTGGTGCTGCACAAAACCTGCGTTTAGGAACTGCTTTGTTAACACGCTCTACGTTTCTGTCTTTTGTTAAAAGAAACTACAGTAAATCTCCTCCAAATCTGACTTGGCCTCAATTCATAAGTCTAACCCTCCAGGAAGAAGAACGTGCCCTGGACCTGGAGGGACTCTCCAGAGCCCCCGATGCCCAGTGTTCCTGCAGCTTGCCCCAGAATGCACTGGGGTTTCCGCAAGAGCTCTGGTTCCTTTGGGCCACATGTGCATGACAGACTTCAGGTTTTGAAACGGTATCTCCTTCAAGGTTTCAGATTAAAACAGTGTAGAGGCTTTGGGTGAATGGACACCTTTTAAAAAGGAGAAGGCAGGAACAACTGGGCGGGCGTTCTGCACACCGGGAAGGAGTCAAACGAAAGAGTCAAGTCCTGCCCTCCTGGAAGACATTCCCCATCAGCGCCACGGCCACTCAGGGTCTGGCTGGTGTGAGGGTCCTCGCCACGGAGCAAGGCCAGCTCCGCCTAGGGCCCGGGCCGGCTCCCAGCTGTCTGGCCCTGGCCGAGCCTCCTCCGGGGGCTTCCTTCACAGACCACAGAGTTACACACACACACACACACACACACACACACACACACACACACACAAGGTCTTGTCCCAGGCTTCCTGCCTCTCAGGGGACCCAGAGCAAGGTAAACTCGCGGCCCATGGCTGGGCTTGGGCTGCTTCGAGAACAGTCTCTGGCTGGAATCTACAAGGCCACACGATGAGCAAGGACCAGAGGGTCGAGGGCTTCACTGAGGCCAAGCCGACCCATTGCCCCGATACCCCAGCGGCCTCCGGAGCCAGGCAGATCGGGGGTCGGCGGAGGAGGTCTCTGGTCACCTGAACCGGCAGCTGCCTGTCTCCCAGCCCCATGGCATCCATGTTCCAAGTTTTATTCACATGCTCAGGACAAAAAGGACCACGAAAGCAGGCGAAAAGGCATCTGGCCAGCTCGGGGCCTGCACGGCACCCCCTGGACGTGTCCAGAGGTCTCCAGGAGAGGAGCTGCTCTGGCCTCCTGCTGGAAAAGCCATTTCTGGTGGAAGACCTGGGGCTGACCAACGCGGGCAGTGGGGACACTGCATCATGAAGGGCCTCTACAGAAAGTGGTCCCTCCAAGAACACAACCCAAGGAAACGGGAACTGTGATGGTCCAGATCTCAAAACACCCGCACAGGCTCGGAAACCCACCTGTGGTGCTGCTGGGAGGGGGTGGGACCCAAGGGGTGGGTCCCGGTGGGAGGGGACCCTGGGATCCTGGCCCTTCCTGTCTCTGTCCCCTGGCCCTCTGTTTCTACCATGATGTTCTGTTTCACCAGAGACCAGAGGGATGGGCTGAACCAGGCCAAGCAACCACGGACTGGAACTCTGGAACCTGGGCCAAGCTTGTCAGCTCCGGTCACAGCGACGGCAAGCTAACACGAACAGACAGACCCACAGCATCTGGAGCTTCTACCGAAAATCGGTGAATGCTATCCAGCAGAGGAAGAGTCTGCTCCTCGCCGTCATCCACACAGGGACCAGGTGACAGATTCTAAATTCTACCACTGGAATGCTTCAGTGTACCCTGAAGGTCAGTAACTTAAAGAGAATGTAATTAGTGACGCGATGACCAGCTTATCTCTCGATCAACATCTGTAAACATCCCTAAATACCCGTACAACTTCCAGCGTCTGACAAACAGCTCAGTGTCAACCATGCAAACTGGGGCTCGGAACCCAGAGCCTCCCTGGCCACCCTCCAGGCCACGGTGGCCACTGCCACCCAGGAAAACTCCTGCAGTGTGGTGGTGGGAACAGAGCTGCTGACACCAAGGCCCCAGGCTCCCCATGTGGGTCCCAACGGCAGTGACGCGCAATGCTCATGGGGAGGGTGGGGCCAGCGTGGTCTAAGACAACACAGGCGGCCACGCTTTGCAGTGGCGTGTCCAGGAGCTGCACCGCCTGGGAGAGGAAAGGTCAGTCGTCAGAGGTGAGTGCCAACACTTCCAGGTGAGCAGAGCCTGCGCCGCCACCTGACTGCCGGGTACCCCAGGCCACCAGGTTGAGTTCCCACCACCACCTGATGACGCCTGGCCATAATGCCCATCACAGCAGGAGGAAGCCCAGCGCCTGCTTACGTCATCTCGGTACCGTGACTTGTGGATGACCACGGCCTTGGAAGGAACCGACGATTCTGGCTTCCGAATGTTGAACTCGGGCTTCGGCCTGGTCTGCTCCTGCAGGTTTTTCCACTCGTCTAAGGTCATCTCCTGAACTTGAGTTTCTTCCTCCACCTCCAACTCAGGAACTCTGTGAAGAGGGACAATTGTGGAAAAATCACTGCCGCTGGGACTGAAATGTCTATTCTAGCAAAGAAATAGCTCGGTTTAGTGCACTTTTGTGGATCTCAGGTGTAATTAAGAAACACCTCTGCATCGCAGGCTTCCCTGTTTCAGTCCCATCTTTTCACGTGTGGCTGCAGAGCATCTCGGGATGTGGGGACGGTAGCGTCCCGATGCTACAATCATCACACCTCACCACCCACACTTTCCCTCCCGATGGCGGACAGACAAAATGAGACCACAGGGAAGAAAATGCAAGAAGCCTGGGAAGAGCAGTGGGAAGCCGCGAATGCACACGTCTGAGAATGTTCTCCACAAACACAGGCCTTCCAGTCTACTCCTCATTCTGGTCGCGTCTCTAGTACGCATATCTAGTAGTCTGTCCTGGGAGAGGACAGAGAAGTGCAACCCTCCTTCCAGCTTTTTCTACACAAATTGCCACTATCAGGAAATAGGAAAGGTGACATCATTATAGAGACTCGGCAGGTGTCAAAAGGTAAATGGCTGCATATGTAAACAGCGTTGTGCCAGTAAGTCAAACCAGTGAGATGAAGTAGGCACAACATACCAAAGCCTATTCAGCATCCAAGCTCATCAGCCCCATATCTACTGGAGAAATTTCAATCTACAGCAAAAAACACAGACAAAACCTTCCCATAAAGAAAACTTCAGCTGGGCATGTCGGTGCACACCTGTAATCCCAGCAGTTTAGAAGGCGGAAACAGGAGAATCACAAGTTCAAGACCAGCCTAGGAGGCCCTAAGCAACTTAGTGAGACCTGACTCAAAATTTTAAAACATTAAATAAAAAAGAACTGGAGATATAGCTCAGTGGTCAAAAAACAAACAAACAAATAAAAAACTTCAGATGGCTTCACTTGTGAATTCCAATAAACACTAAGAAATGCAAATTCCATAGAAACCCAGAAGAACAGAAACTTCTGGGCACTCTTCAACTCACTGTAAGAAGCTAGCATTAACTAGATACCAAAATCAGGAAAACACACTATTAGAAAGAAAAACTCTATATAGACAGTGTGCTTCACAACGTTTCAGCCAAATTTTAGGTAACCAAACCCAAGGAAACATGGGAAAGAGAACGACAGGGCTCACTCAGGAATGCAGGGCTGATGTGACACTGTGACATCACAGGTCGGGTGTGGCAGTGCCCGCCTAGGAGTCCAGCAACTAGGGAGCTGAGGTGGGAGAACCACTTGAGCCAGGAGTTCAAGGCCAGCCTGGGCAACACAGCGAGACCGTCTCAAAAAAAAAAAGCCCCACTAATGGATCAAATCAGCAAGTTTTTTTCTTTTTTGTTTTTGTTTTTTGGGGTGCTGGGGATTGAACTCAGGGTATTATGCATGTAAGGCAAGCACTCTACCAACTGAGCTATAGCCCCAGCCCCTCAAATTAGCAAGTTGAAAAAGAAAACCATTTAATAATCTCAACAGATACAGAAAAAAAAACACTTTAAAAATTCAACATTTATTCCTAACAAAAACTCCCAGTAAACTAAGTACTATGAAATCTTCTTAATCTTTGTTTGCTTTTTGGTACCAGGGATTGAACTCAGGGTCACTCGACCACTGAGCCACATCCCCAGCCCTATTTTGTATTTTACTTAGAGACAGAGTCTCTAAATAAAAGTTGCTTAGCACCTCACTGATGCTGAGGCTGGCTTTGAACTCACGATCCTCCTGTCTCAGGCTCCTGAGACATTAGGATTGCAGGCGTGCACCACCGTGCCCAGCTAAAATGTAATTTTTTAATAGTAGCGATAATGAATGCTTTTCTCCTAAGCTCACTCACAGGCAAAGATGTCTCCTCTCAACATTCCAGTGGGAGTCAATAAGACAAGAGGAGGAAGCAAAAGGCATAAAATCAGAAAGAATATTAACACGGTGTGTGCAGACAATACAATCATCTACACAGAAAATCCAGTAGAAGCTGCAGATTAGTGGAGAGAATTAATAAGGAGTTAAGCCTATAGGATACAAAGTTGGTACGCAAAAATCATTTTTAAAAACGTTCTAGCAAAAAATAAATAAAAGACATATACGTCAACAGAAAACAATTCAGAGTTCAGGAAAAAGCCTCATATTTTGGTCAACTGATCTTTTATATTTTTAAGACCAAGGTGCCAAAGACAATTCAAAGGAGGAAAAATCTATCCAACAGCGGTGCCAGGACAACTGGACGCCACACGCAAGAGAGGGAGCTGGAGCCCTGCCGCACGCCGTGGAGAGAGCGTGTGAAACTCCGCAGTCCAGGCCCGGGCCTTCCTGACCTGGAGTGAGCAGTGGCTTCTTCCTGTGTCACCAAAAGCACAGGCAAAGAAACAATTAAGACATCATCATTAACATTTTAAAATTTTGTGCTGCAAAGGACACCATCAAGAAAGTGAAAAGAAAAGCCATGGAATGGGAGAGGAAATTTACAGATCGTTTATCTGATAAGGGATTTGATCTAAGATTATCTGACAAAGGATTATGAATTCTAACATAGGACCCAACTAAAAACCAGTCGAGGATCTGAATAGATATTTTTACAAAGAAGATACACAAATAGCCAATAAGATGTGCCACATCATTAGCCATCAGAGAAATGCCAATGAGTCAGACCAGGGCAACCCACTAGGATGGCCAGAATCAGAGACACCCAAGTGCTGGTGGGAACATGCAAAGATCAGAGCTCAGGCGCACGGCAGGGGCTGAGGAATGATGTGGTCACTTTGGGAAACAGAAATTGAAACGTAGGGTGAAGCAGCTGAGCCAGAAATTTTACTCTTGAATGTATACCAAGAAAAATCAAAACATGTCCACGTCAAGACATCCTGAGTGTGGACAGCAGCATTGGTCATTATAGCCAAAAGACAGAGAAGACCTCGACGTCTAACAAGTGAGGAACAGATAAACAAAATACAGTACATTTGTAAAGGTATTATTTGGCAAGTAAAAAAAACCAAAATACTAACACATGTCACCAGGGCAAGGGAGCCTGATGCCCTCAAGGAATTAGGGGGATGAAAGGAGTCAGGCTGGACAGGCAGGTGTGTCTTCTGGGCAGGATCACAGTGACCTGAAATGTCCACAGGGGACAAACAAGGACACCAAGCACGTCGGGCCGACTCTCAGTGGGTATGGGGGTTTCCTCCTGGGACAGTGAAATGTTTTGGAAGGAGATGGGGTGACAGGTGTGTCATACTGTGGCAGTACATGTCATGGGGACTATGCACTTCAAAAGGTTAAAATAGTAAGTTTTGTATGTATTTTAGCACCAAGAACAACAAAAACCATTTTTTTAAAGATAATACGCAGAAGTGGAAGGAGCGAGGTGTGATGCCCTATGACATGCAGAGCCTGACAGCGCCATGCCACATGGGGGTCACTCAGGCTACAGGCGACTCCGATCTCAAGAGGCACAGAACCAGCGAACTCCCAAACGGTGAGACACAGGATGCCCGGGGCCAGGGGTGACCAGAGCTGGCTGGGTGGATGCTAGAGTTTGCCCAGGATGAGGAGAAAGTTCTGGAGATGGCGGGGACGGCTGCACACTCACAGCTGTGAGGAAGCACTAAATCAGGTATGCAAAATGGCCATTCATGTTAATTATATTTTATCGCAGTTTAAAAAATACTGGAACATTGAATTATATACAGTGACTGAGTTGTACAGTCGGATAATTCTCTCTCACTAAAATTGTTTAAAAGTAAAAAAAAGAAGACAGGGAGTGGGGGAGGGTCCATCTGCACCTTCACCAAAGGGCTGGCATGCTCAGGGTCCTACAGCCACTACTGGGTGACGACATGAGACATGCAGCTGTCATCAGGAAGGACCCTGACCACAGGCCCCAGACGCGCATCTGCAGGGCCTTCAGTGGCGGTGGAAAACCTCTGCGGCCGCGGCTGCCTGTAAGGGTGACAGGAGGAACTGTCCGGTGCCTGGCAGGCTTCTGCATTCACAGATGTCCAGGCCCCACAAGCACACGCCCTTGTCCAACAGGGGACGTGCACTTGGGCTCTGCACATTTCATGGTGTGAAGACCTTACATCCAAATAGACCAAACATACTGACTTCCACACGTCAATGATGTGCACCTTGAGCTACGGGGAGGTGGACGGACACCTTCGGTTCACGGTGAAGTGTACCCCACACAATATACTGATGAAGACAGATGAGAGGAACAAGAGAGCCGAGCTGCAAAGCTTGGGTAGTAGGAATAGACGGTTCCTGTAAAATGCCTTAAAGTGTGCTGTTCGAGAAGTTTCCTAACAAAATGCAGGAAAGTACGGATTAAAATAGACCTCAAACATATATTGTTAACAATATGAAAAGCTCTTAAGAAAAGACTCTATGGGAATAGCTCAGCCCACTTAGAGAGGAACTTGATGGAAAAATTATGGTTAATCACGTGCAGACACTAACCAGCCAACAAGGACACAGGGCTGTCTATACACTGGAGCATCTCCCAGACCCGGCAAGGAAGGAGGGGGGGACAGTGTGTGACCACTGGGAAGTGCAAAGGCAGTCAAGAGCGTGTGCGACACATGCACGCTCACACACACTCGAAATTGGAATATAAGCTAGGAAAGAATAGGGATAGAAAATAGTTGAAAATACCACGTTTTTCAGACTGAATTTTGGAAATATGTAAATCTTTTACATGATTACCAAATGAAAATCAATCTCTATAATTTGAAAGCAAAATGAATCAAAATTAACCTAAATGTTTGTCAAGCTGGTGATACAGCCATTGACAGGCTATTTCAAATGGCTTTAAATACAAATCTGATGGCTGTCTTGTCCTGAGTGACTTTTTAGCAGCTGTGTTACTGAAGGCAGTTTGGGCTGGAACATTGAATTATATACAGTGACTGCTGTGTTTGGAGCGGATGCCTGATGGGGTGACACCACAGAGCGCCAAGATCCCCAGTATTCAAAGAAAGGAGAAGCACGTAAGAAAGGTCAGGTAAAGACCCTCCAGACTCGATCTAATCAGCAAGTACTGAAGGAACTTGTTTCATCTCACGATGTTTATGTATCTGTCTATTCCAGCTCTGTCCATTGAGCGCCCTAAGGATCATCAAAAGCCTAGGAGTGGCTCCTAATTAAGGCTGCCTTCCTAAAAGTGACACACTGATGGCAAATGACCACTGAAAGGATGCTCAACATGGTCAGTCATCAGGGACAGGCAAATTAAAACCACAATGGTCAAAAGTTGTAAAAGCTGACCCTGCCACGTATTGGCAATGACACAAAAGAACTAAACTCTCATTTACTGTCGGTGGGAAAATAATAAAGATGCAACCATGCTGGGAAGAGTTTGGCAGTTTCCTACAAAAGTCAACATCCACCTGCCACCTAGAGTCCCCCGCTGCATCCCCAGGTATTCATCCAGAAGAAACTAAGGCGGGGCTGGGGCTGGGGCTGGGCTCAGGGTGGAGCCCCTGCCTGGCACTGAGAGGCCCTGGGTTCCATCCTCAGCACCACATAAAAATAAATAAAGACAACAAAGGTATCGTGTCCATCTACAGCTAAACAATGAAAACAAAAAAGGAATGAAGGCAGACGTCACAAGGGACTTGTCTACACCAATGTCTGCAGTAGCTTTTATAACAAAGACTGGAAGCAACACAAACCACCACCACCTGATCACACAGGGACAGGTGTGTCTGAGTGACAGCACAGGCTCGGCCACGGGGACACTGAGGCACAGGCTGGCCACAGGGAGAGACACTGAGAGTGCAGCAGCGCAGACAAGTCTCAGAGTCCAGGCTGTCCAGACGCACTGAAGCAGAATCATGACAACTGCAAACTAATACATAGCGACAGAGAGTGGAGGGCGGGAGAGAACTGACGGGAACACAGGACACTCCGGGAGGATGTGTACTTTGGTGTTGATTCAACCAAGTAGTTTTAAAAAAGTTTTGAGATAATCAGGGAGACTGATGCGCTGCCCTGCTATTAACGGTGTTAAGGAAGCATCGGAACTTCTGGATGGTGTGAGGGCCCCCCGACATCACGTCCCGAGCAGTCATGAATGACGAGTGGCATCTTGGGGGTCTGAGTGGAGGGGGAGGAGGTAGGCACGCCCTGGAATGGCTGTGATCTGACAAGGCTTTAAGCAGAACAAATTACAGGGACCTTCCTTACTTGCTTTATATAAATTTTCCCATCATTTTTTATGCAGAGCTAAAAGTAAAGAAATATTAAGGGTCATAAATCTTCATTAGGCAGCTTGTGACAGAACTAAGAAATCAGAACTGGATGTTATAAATTTGGGGATTCTTTCATAACTAAGAAAACCTAATAAAAGTTAATAAATTCCAGAAGGTTCAGTAAGAAGAGATTTTGTATTGAGACAACACAGGAAACACTTAGTATTAACAGATTTTTGTTTGAGATTTAGTTCATATCTAAAGAACTGGATTCAAGCAGTACAAGGCACATAAATGCAACCTTGAAGTGACCCAGGCACCTCAAGCAAAGCAGGTGGGACTCAGAGCCTGTGCCAGGTGATGCCCTCTACAGAGAACCAGCCAGGCCCGCACTGGAGGACACAGCGGTAGGTGCCCTTGGCACCTTCTCCTGGTGACTTGCAGGTCCACAAGCCATGCCATGTACGGCAAGGTCACCAAGGACAGGCTCCTCAGCCTTGTGCCCTAAAATACGTGTGACGACATTCTGTGACACGCGTTCCCTTCAGTAAATGAACAAGGCCAGCCCTCTGTGATGGGACGAGGCCAGACTCTCGAGGAAATCAGCCTGTGGCCCCAAGGGAGGGGGAAGAAGCCCCTACTTGGCTGGAGACTCCTCTTCTGGGAGGCCCTGGGACTCCTGCATCGCCGCTGTCTCCTCCATCGGGGCAGCCAGCTCCGCGTCACTGAAAAACAGCAAGAGCCCCTCTGTTCACAGGGTACAGGCACACATCACTCTCTGCATCTGAGACAGAGACGCACGTGCTCATGTCCTTTTGCTCGAGGGCGCACTCTTCAAGAAGCTACACACACAGGTTTCCACGTCCAAACCAAAGAAGGAACGGTCTGAATTGCTTATTCACGTAAATGACTTGCAAAATGGTTAAAGTTCTTTGGCAAAAATGATTCTGTGAATGATCTAAAATTTAAAAAAAAAACATAAATTATTAGGAAAAAATATTCAGAACTCTTTTTTTTCTTGAACCGGGGATTGAACCTAGGTTTGCTTAACCACTGAGCCACCTCCCCAGACCTTTTTATTCTTTATTTAGAGGCAGGGCCTCCCTAAGTTGCTGAGGCTGGCTTGGAACTCGCAATCCTCGGCTGCTGCACGACTATACCCACACAAAACTCTTATTTTCCATTTATTAAATGGAGCCATAAGAATTCTGAAACTGTAAGTATTAAATGATTTATTAAACATAAGATTATTCCATACCAAACTATTTGAAAATGCTAACAAGGTGAGACAGATCCCACAAACTGAGCAGGTGTGACTACAGACAGACCGTGACAACTGCTCCGGAAACACAGCACTGTGCAACCTGGCTTTCTACACCGTCCCCTCCAGACGCACCCGTGAGGGAAAATAGCTTGGGTTTCAATTCACATCTTGGTTTTTATTTTTATCTGAACATTAATCCTATCTGAGCATTATTTTTAAAAGTCCCAGCAAAAGAAATTTCGCTTTCAGTAAACTGCTATAACTACATGTCCATTAGAAGTATTTTACAGTCTACAGACAGAACCCAGGTTTCTTTTTTTGTTTTTTTTTTAATCCTACCTCAGGTAAAAAAGTTTCATGGAGGCTTTAAAAGTTTAAGTTAAGGGGCTGGGGCTGCAGGTCAGTGGTGGAGCGCTTGTCTGGCATGTGTGAGGCAGTGGGTTCCATCCTCAGCACCACATATGAATAAATGAATAAATAGAAGTATTGTCCATTTACAACTAAATATATACCAATCAAATAAGTATAAAAATAAATAAGTTACATAAGTTGAATTGTAATAATAGATCATTTCAATTTAAATAATTTTTAAATTCTAAGCTCCAAGCAATTATGATCAAGTTTTAAAACCTGTTTTTTAAAATTTGATTATCTTTTACTTTTAAAAAACAAAAAAGGATCCTAAATGAAATGCTGGGGAGGGGCACAGCAGTGGTCTGCTCGTAGAAGCTGCTTCAGGAACCCATAGCTGCATATCACAACCCGGGGGTCCCCTGACTTAAGCATCCAGTAGCCCTAAGGCCCACCAGCAGCTGCAGGGATCAAGGACAACTTTCTCTTTATTCCCTTGGCCACAGAACAAACCAAGGGGATAAAAAAAAACAGGTTTACTGGCAGTTTATAAAATTAAAGATCATAAAAAGGTTACAAAGATAAAGGGAAGAAAAAGTAGAAATAATACCAAAACCAGACTCTGTAAAAATCAGTATTTCTTCAACTTAAGCAATTATAATTTTGTGGAAAAGAAAAATCACAGGTCTCCCCCTTGTGTTGACCTAAATTATTTTATGAATAAACAAACCTAATGTGCCTATAGCTCTTATGGAACCATCTGACCAAAACTACAAAACAAGTTTCAAAATCAGCTACAATTTATTTTGACAAATAATATTTTTTTCTTAAAAAGTAAATTGCCAAGCTGGGTGTGGTGGCACATGCCTGTAATCCCAGTGACTCAGGAAACGGAGGCAGGAGGGTCACAAGTTCAAAGCCAGCCTCAGCAATTTACCAAGACCCTGTCTCAAAGTAAAACATAAAAAGGACTAGGGATGTGGACTAGTGGTTAAGTGCCCCAGGATTCGATCCCTGGTACCAAAATAAAACCAAAAAATCACCGATGTTGAATTCAGTACAAGAAAGATACAGCCCAGGGCCCACACCTGCACTGGAACTTCGTTACACTAGGCAGGAATGCCTGTTTGTGCATAGTGTTTCACAGAAGGACGGAACCGACCTAGCTCAAATTCAGTCCGACTCCACACTTAGACAAATGTTACTTGACAGCCATGTAATGCAGTCTTTGTAAAGCAGCCAGGTTCGTTAGTGCACTCCTGTAATCCCAGCAGCTCAAGAGGCTGAGGCAGGAGGATGGCGAGTTCAAAGCCAGCCTCAGCCAAAAGCGAGGCCCTAAGCAACTCAGTGAGACCCTGTCTCTAAATAAAATACAAAACAGGGCTGGGGATGTGGCTCAGTGCCCCTGAGTTCAATCCCTGGTATCCCCCCCTCAAAAAAAAAAGTTGGAAGGCAGCATTATAGACAATTAACAATTGTTATACTTTTTAATTGCTACATATGGAAAAAAAAACATTTTCAGCAAATCCATTTTCACCCTATTAAACTATCAAAGAGAACCAGTAACATTGGAAATGGCTCAGTTACTGCAGTTTGAAAGCATCTTATCTTTAATTTTACTCACTGCTGCTGACAAGGCTACCACTGGCCAGCGTAAGTAACTACTTGGGGACCCAGATGAATTAAGGTGGTAGGTAAATTAGATGACTTGGAAGGTGCTTGGGTTCCATAGAACCTCAGTGACAAATCTTTTAATTTTGGTTTATTTAGCTTTAAAACACATTTTTAAAAACACAGGACAGTGATTCAAGAAAAATGAGTTCAGGTAAAAGGAAGAAAAGCAGAACAGGTGCCCCCGAGCCTGCAGGCATCTGGAAAGCTAGCCAACAACACTATCCTGCGACACAGCACCTCCCTCCTTTTCCTCCTCTGCTGGCACCAGGATGGCAAAACCAAGCACCCACCCTACCCAGTAAAACTGGCACAGATCCAAGGCAATATGAGCCTCAGGAGAAACCTGTGATTGAGCTTCAACCTGCAAATGATTTTACAAATGAAAATACGATATCAAGGATCTACAGGGACTCTGGAAGGTCACAGAAAAACACAGAATATGCAGGAATTTCAAAAGCTGGTGAGACATGCACATGTACCGGCTACATGTGCACCAGCAAACACAGGGTCATCTGTCATGAAGTTGTCTGGCTAAACTGTGATAAAATAACAGATCTTTAAGAGCAATTTCACACCTAAATACGAAACAGCAAACATGTTTTTTTTAATATTTATTTTTTAGTTTTCAGTGGACACAACATCTTTATTTTATTTGTATGTGCTGCTGAGGATCGAACCCAGCGCCCCGCGCATGCCAGGCGATCGCACTACCACTTGAGCCACATCCCCAGCCCTGGCAAACATGTTTTAAAAGTTATCTCCTGTGGGCTTAATGGTGCTCACTTATAATCCCAGCAGCTCAGGGGGCTGAGGCAGGAGGATCACTAGTTCAAAGCCAGCCTCAGCAACTTAATAAGGCCCTAAGAACTCAGCGAGACCCTGTCTCTAAATAAAATATTTAAAAAAGGGCTGGGGATGTGGCTCAGTGGTTAAGTGCCCCTGGATTCAATCCCCAGTTCCAAAAAAAAAAGTTACCTTGGTTTAATTTCAGGATTTGGTGCACACACACACACACACACACACAAGCTGTCTCACTAAAACAAAGCCTAGAATCAATCTCTACTTAAAGACATGTAGTATGAAGCACAAGAGGACTTCATTCTCAAAGAAAATTTTAAAAAGCAAATAAAGATCCATAAATCCCCATCTAAATGGAGGCTCCCTGAGGGCACACGGCTGCAACTTACCTGGTGTCTCTACCGGATCCCCAGGTGCGAACTCCACACCCACCTGTGCTGTCTTCAGTTCTGAGAGCCCTGGAGGAAGAAAGAATATCCCCTAAGCTGGAAGCTGGTCTCCAGTCAAGGCCTAAGTCATAGAAAGCTGATTGTAAAAGATGTTCCAGAGTCAGTTTCCCACAAGAGAGAGCTCACAGAACATGAACAGAAGCCAATTGAGTGCTACCACACAGCGCACACACTCATGCTCTATGCTGCCAGCGACGTGCAGGGGAAAGGGCATTTAGGGAGACTCACGTTTTGTCACTCCCAGCATATCTTTCAAAATCCCGTTTCCCTCTCTGGTCAAGGGTGTCGACAGCTCGGTTCCCAGAACCACCTCTGCCCCTGCTCCGCATGCCCCCTCTTGGGCCGCCACGTCCTCTCGGAGGTCTGTCTCGGTCAAACCTGTCAACTGGTCTGGAAGACATGGGTTCAATAAAACCTGGAGAACTGGACTGAAGGTCTAAAACCTGTTTGAGAAAACAATCCCAGAAGGACATCCTGGCTCTAGTACGCTGGAAAGGACGGTGGCTGGCATAAAATGTCACCCTGTCTTCACTGTGTGCCCACCACACCTGGGGTCCTTCTGAAGACCTCACATGTGGAATTTCACAAGCAAATCTAAGATATACACCTGAAGAGGGTGACTGGCTCAAGGTCAAGGTCATGCAGAGCTGCTGAGTTGGGGGGGTCAGTCCAGACCCCAGACAGGTCTTGAACTCACCTGCGCAGGGCGTCCTGATCCCTAAGGAGACTCTAAGGCTCCGTCCCGTCCCAGTGCCGATCTCTGCTTACTGATTTCATCCAGTAAGACAAATGGCCGACTTTACATCATGCCCTCCCAGATCTCCCTCGCCCACAGCCAGTGGGTGACACTTGGCATTGAGAACACTGACCTGCCATAACCCTTCATGCTTCTTGAACTTCCAAGGTCAGCGGAGACCTGTGTGTTAAACCCGATCGTCTCGGTCTGGTTTAACCTCCCTGTGTCATTTCCCTCTGACCTTTCTGGATTCCCTCTCCCAACCTGTCCTTGAAAACATTGTTTCTTTAACATTAGTCACCCAAATGTGGCACCAAGTCCTGCGTTTCTTGGTCCCCCTCCACTTCTCAGTACAGCCACTTCTAGGTCACACCCCACTGTGAGCATAGAAGCTCCAGAGAGCCACCTCCTCACCCCGGCACTCTTTGGCTTAGCCACCGCGTGCCACTCCCTTCCCGCTCACAGCCTCCGTGACTTCACCGATGCCACCGGCCTGTCTCACGTGGGCCTCCCCGATTCCAGGCCACAAGGCCAGCTGCCTCCTGGATATCTCCAGCTGGACATCTCCCGCCCGGCAGAGACATGACCTGTGCTGACCCTGGCTCCTGCCACGGTCCCTAACGCACAGGTAAGAGAACCCATGCCACTCCTCCACTCCCTCCTGCCACCCGCCAACACCCGCCCTCCTCCGCCAGACCTGAGGCTCCCGCAGGAAACGACCACATCTTTTTTGTTGTTATAAAGATTAATATAAGTTTTTTTTAAATTTTGTTTTTTATTATTAAATGTGGTGTCTTTATTTATTTTTAATTTTTAAATATATTTATTTATTTTTATGCGATGCTGAGGATTGAACCCAGTGCCTCACACACCCAGTGCCTCACATGTGCGAGGAAAGCGCTCTACTGCTGAGCTATAACCCCAGCCCCTATTTTTAACATTTTTATACAATTTTTTTATCTGTTCTTTTTAGTTACACGTGACAGTAGAGTATGTTTTGACATATCATACTTGCATGGAGTACAACTTCCCATTCTTTTTTTTTAAATATTCTTTTAGTTATAGATGGACACAATATCTTTATTTATTTACTTATTTTTATATGGTGCTGAGGATGGAACCCAGAACCTCAAACGTGTGAGGCAAGCTCTCTGCCACTGAGCCCCAGCCCAGCCCAGACTCACCATTCTTGTGGTTGGACATGAGTAGAGTTTCATGTCCTGTACGCACAGATGAACACAGGAGAGTGGTGTCCGATTCATTCCCCTGTCTTTCCGGTTCCCATTCCCCCAAGTTTTAAATTTTTAATTAGAATTTTTAAAACATTTAAAGCAACAACAAACTACTTGTCCTGGCATCAAGCAACCTGTTGGTGTCAGTAACCTAAATACCTGCACTAGCAGCCTACTTTCATGGATAAAATATTACATTAAAAAGCCACTAGAAAGGCTGAAGCTCAGTGGTAGAGAGCTTACCTCGGCCCTGGGTTCCATCCTCAGCACCACATAAAAATGAATAAACAAAATAAAGATATTGTGTTCATCTATAACTAAAAAATTAAAATAAAAAAAGCCATTAGAGCCAGGTGCAGTGGCTGACACCTCAGGAAGCTGAAGCGGTAGGATCGCAAGTTCAAAGCCAGCCACAGCAACTTAGCAAGATCCTGTCTCAAAAAAACAACTAGAATAAAAAACAAATAAATAAAAAGAGCTGGGGATGCGGCTCAGTGGTTAAGCAACCCTGGGTTCAATCCCCATACCAAAAAATAAATAAATAAAAGTCACTATATGGTAGTGGGTAAAATACACAAAACTCACAATTTTCCTTACTCAAAAAGAAGAAGAAACACAGAAGTATCAACTGTTACTTTTATGCCAATCTCTCACAAGAAACAGGATCCTACATCTAACTCTCTACGTTGGCTTCTGGATCTGCACCTCCCTCACCCCAAGCCGAATCTTAAATAGAAATCTTTATAAAACCTGATTCTAAACTACAGTCAGTGTCTCAAGAAGGGTTCTAAAACAGTAACAAAAGAAAGTAAAAGTGAATCCTTAGCCAGGAAGTTCAACAAGCCAATAAAAAGAAAAAAGTCTACCCCCAAATTAAGAGGAGACGAAGAGCAAACGCATACATGGAGAGCATATGGTGGAATCGGGTCTGACTCACAGACATCCACATACCATACCAGCACCCCAAACCCTTTAAAATAAGAGTGATCGAGCCGGGTGCAGTGCGCACGCCTATAATCCAAACTGCTCGGGAGGCTAAGGCAGGAGAATCACAAGTTCAAAGCAGACTAAGCAATTTAGCGAGATCACATCTCTAAATAAAAATATGGAAAAGGGCTGGGGAATATGTTAAAAAAAAAACCTGGATTATCTCAGTTATTTTGTTACAGTAAGGGAAGGCTAGCTAACACACCTAATGAGACATGAGTACCAGTTTTACAGATAAAGAGACTGAAGTTCATGGAGGGTGAATGATCAGTGTTTAATGGGCACAGGGGTTCAGTATGGAAGGTGGAAAAGGTCTGGAATGTACTTAATGCAACAGAATGGGACGTTGGGGTGAATTTTATGGGTATACTGTACCACATCTTTTTTTCTTAAGCTTATTTAGGGGAGGAAAGGTAGTTAAACATCTGAGTAGTGGCTCTTTCACAATTGGAACTGACTTCAAATGACTAGCAGTAAAGGAAAAGTGAAAATATATCCAGACAGTGGCAGACACATTTCTTAATAGTCTATATTCCAAGAGTTAAATTAAGTTTACTTGGAGCCTAAGGAAGAATTCCTACTGCATTGAAACCACAGTTGTACTCCCAGATATTACGTGTGTCATGTGACGGAGCTCAGCTCAGGCGCTCAGACACACTGGGAATCAGTCCCAGAACTGCTCAGGGTGTGACTCCCCAGGGGAAATGTGCTGTCTCGGCAGAATAAAACCCATGCCACCTGCCACCAGCACACGCACTGCTGAAAATCTGGGTCCTGTTTCCTCATCTACAAATCGAGAGGGCTGACTTTAGATAGACTTTCAAGACTAGCAAGGTTCCAAAATTCTTTTTTTGTTTGTTTGTTTTGTTTTAATATTTTTTCGTTGTTGATAGACCTTTATTTTGTTTATTTATATGTGGTGCTGAGAATCGAACCCAGTGCCTCACATGTGCTAGGCAAACACTGTGCCACTGAGCCACAACTCCAGTCCCAAGGTTCCATAATTCTGTCCAATAAACATGTATCATAGAAATTCCAGGTAATACTAGTTTTCGATATTAAATTAAGAAATCCAACTTTATTACGTTCATGTTTAGAGAAAATGCTGTGAATGCTCTCACATGACTGGTGACGAAATACACTGACAGGCTAGAGGATGGTGATTTGTCACTTTCAACAGCTCTCCCACCGCACACACATTTTATTTGCCGTCACATGACACAACTGTCCCACCTTGTCCCACCTTGCACTGAAGCATGAGGTGGGTCCTGACCTGGACACATGACGCGACCTGATAGCCTCTGCTACAGTCTCCAGGGGGCCCGACCTCCAGGACTCCATCTAGGGACCTCCTGACGTAGACCCTCAGCTGCTCGCTGGGTCGATGGATTATAAGGCAGAGGCCCGGACACTGAGCAAAGGTCTAAGGCTATGGAAGGGTTATATTACACAGCAAGCACAGAGCAGGGAAAAGTACTGACCAAGAAGAGAAGGCCGATGTGTCAAGAGGAAAAGAAAAAATATGGAATACTCAACGTACATGATTATCATCTTAACATCAAAGTAGATCAGTACATAAGAGAGGAAGTGAGCTGGGGATGTGGCTCAGTGGTAAAGCACTCGCCTGGCATGTGCCAGGCCCTGGATTCGACCCCCAGCACCACGGTGGCAGGAAAATGGGCTAAAGTGCTAGGAGTAATCATATTAGGTGGCAAAATAGGTGGTTTTAATTCTCTTTATAATTTTCTTTTTTTTTTTTTTCCTGAATTGTCTAAAGTGACTATTTTTGTTAAAGATCTTATGGACTTTTATTAAGCAGAAGAGTATATTTTAAGAAACCAGGGAACATTTTTTCTGATATCACAGGGCTTATGAAAAAATTCAAATTTCCTTGAAAGTAAAATGCCCTACATATTCCTAATAGGACATATGAGAAGAACACGCTATTTCCAAGTTCCTGCCAAAAGTGCACAACCTTGTTCCCTGAGAAGCATCAGACAACTGAAGTTTGGGGATGTGCTACACGAAGAACTGGCCCACAATCTTTGAAAATACAAAATTCATAAAAGATAAAGGAAGACTAGGAGCTATTCCAGATTAAAGTCAATGACACACAATGTACACTCCTGGACTAGACCCTGAACCAGAAATATGTTCTCTTTGGCTAAAAGTACCTTGCTAGGAGAATTGGGGAAATTTGAGCAAAGTCTGTAGATTACATGATTTAGGGCATTAGATAACAGTACTCATGTATCAATGCTAATGAGTTTGATAACTGTACCATGTGTTTTGGTTTGTTTTTGCAGTGCTGAGTCTAGAGCCCAGGGTCCCATGCATGCTAGGCAAGTGCTCTACCACTGAGCCACATCTTCAGCCTCTATGACATTTTTTAGGAAATATACATAATTTAGGGACAATAATATGCCTTTCTCTCAAATGACAAAGGAAAAAAGTGTGTGTGTCTGTGTGTATACATGCGCATATCAATGTGCAGAGAAAGACTGAATGTGGTAAAAAGTTAATATTTGGAAATCTAGATGAAGGGCATATGGGAACTGTTCGTATAATTCTTGCAACTTTTCTGTAAATCTGAAAATATTTTAAAAGAAAGAATCCACGCTCCCATGTCCCACTTTACTAGCTCACTTAGGCATCTTTTCAGGTCATACATAGAGATTTACTTTATCCTTTTTAAAGGCTGCATGCTCTTACCACCGAAAAGGAGGCAGCAAACAGGTTTGTGCATTTGAACTATAATTTCCTTATTTCCACAGAATAAATCTCTGACGTGAGGGGGAAAAAAATAAATGTTTCAAAAATTAAGTAGCCCAAGAGGTTTTTCATAGACAAGAAGACTGTGGCCATTACACAGCAAATTTGAGTTATCAGCAAAAATAAAAAAGGTCTCAAATCAAGCCTTTCTGTCACTCTCTCCAGCCTGGTGGCCTCCACTGTCTCGCAGTGGCCACACCTGTAATCCCAGCAGTTGGGAAGGCTGAGGCAGGAGGATCTTGAATTCAGAGCCAGCCTCAGCAACTTAGCAAGGCCTTAAGCAACTCAGCAAGACCCTATCTCTATATAAAAAAATAAAAAGGGTTGGGGATGTGGTCAGTGGTAAAGCACTCTTGGGTTCAAACGTCAATACAAAAAATAATTAAAAATTTAGGGAAAAAGACTGCATCTGAACTGAATAGATACGGGCTTTTTTCCTTGACATTATTCTCTAAAAAATACAGCATAACTATTTACATTTTATTGAACATTATGGGTAATCTAGAGCTGATTTAAAGTATACAAGGGGATGTGTGTAGATTCTCTGCATATACTTTAATAAAAGCAACCTTACTGTCTAGAGATTTTGGTGTCCTTGGGGATCCAGGAGCCAATCTCTGGGAGATACTGACAGATGAGTATATTTCCCTTTAAATGTGATTCACTGGTTTTCTCTGTTTTAACCTAAACTCTGTTAGGCACTTTAGGCAGCAAGCATCCACCTTACCAGGACCAAGAGCAAGACTTACATAACTGCCACTCTGTACAGGTGGGGCTCGGACGCCTGTGTGCTGCCATCCTCAGGAATGACCCAAGAGTGCACCAGCCTGTGACCACCTTCTACCTCAGAGTGCTCCCAAGAGAAGATACGGGGTCAGAGATCAGTATTACATGTCATATCAGGTTTTCCTTCAAACTTCATCACGAAAGCCTGTTGACTGCCCAGGGAGCTAGGAATTTGCTTAAATCTGTTTAGCAATGATAAATCAAAATCGTAATTATACCCCTAGCTCCAAATCAGCTCCCGAGCCTAGAACTGTAAAAGAAATTTTAACCAGTTCAACACACTCCCATGTAATTTCATAAGAGTGTTTTTCATAGTTACCAAAACCAGTTTCTGGGGGTGGGGGTTATGCTGGGATTGACCCCAGGACCTCGTTCATGCTAGGCCATTATTCTACCACTGAGCCACCTCCCCAGCCAGCCATTCCCTTTCCAGGAACTGGCCCATCATTTCCTGAACAATGATATAAGGTCATCTGTGAGACCCACGGGAGATCCCCCATGTGTCACCTGATCGGATTCAGTTGCATTGACAAAATAACCCCAGGATCGCCACCACAGAAAGGCCAAGGCTGGACGTTTCCTGAAGGCCCTTCCAGTCCCCACTCTGGGAGGGCCGCAGTACGTACTTTTCATCTGTAAACTTCTCGGCTGTGAAGTCCGCCTGCCTCTCGGTCTCATAGGGTCGATATTCTCTGTAGGGCCTCCGCTCTGCTCTATCAAGCGTCACCTCTGTCCCCCGGCTGTCGTTCCATCCTTGCTGCTCCCCTCTCCTCGGAGCTCGCTTCTGGCCTGCAGCAGAAAATCAAGGTGCACAGTTGAACACAGCGCCCACCACAGCGCCTGCGCGGGAAGTGCAACAGGTACTTCTCATTTTCCTAGAAATCAAAGTCACCCCAAAGTCCTGCAAGCCTGGGAAATTTCTATGAACAAAAGGTGCTGATAACCACCGTCTAGAGTGGAGCCCATTAGGGGTTGAACCCAGGGCAACTTCACCACTGAGCCACACCACCAGCCCTTTGGTTCTTTATTTGGAGATAGGTTCTTGCTAAGTTGCCCACATTATGCTGGTGATTCTCCTGCCTCAGCCTCCCAAGGGGGTGGGATTACAGATGAGCACCTCTGCACCTGGAGACGCTACTACTGTTTGATAAAACTTTACTACTGCTATGAATCATGCTTCCCCTTGTATTCTAGAAAGTATTAGATAAATAAACCACACAAGCCTCCTTATAATAATAGGCATCTCACAGCAACTCTGACACAGCTACTGCTTTGCTTCACTAAATAAACTATATTTCATAAAATCAGCTTTACCAAAACATGATCATAAGCCCCATCCAAAATATTATAGGGGAAATATACTACATTCCAGATTGTACTTTCAGATTTCCAACTGCACATAGCCAAGGGCAACTACGGTTAATCACAGGCTACTAAGATTTTCATTTTTGCATACTTTGGAGTGTTTTCAAAATGAAAACAGATTTTTCTGCTGACAGGATTTATACAGTTGCCACCACAGCTCTCAAGTATGAGCCCATCTGGTATTTTATCACTCAGGAGCCAGAGAGTTCTCAGAGGGCATCCCTTCTGTGCACTCAAAAGTCCAGCTGGTCCTGGGGCAGGGACAGGATACTGGGGCAGCTCTTGTCTTTTCCTCTCTTTCCTCTCCCTTTCTTACCCTCCTCTGGTTTTGATGCTTTAAAATTTTTAACCAAAGTCTGTATTTGAAGCCACCTAATACTTGGTAAACACGTTGTGGAGAACTTTGTCACATCGTAGACCACTTTCCAGAATGATTATCTGCTGTGGCATGCATTCAAAAGGTCTTCTCTCGGGCTGGGGATGTAGCTCAGTTGGTAGAGCGCTTGCCTTGCATATACAAGGCCCTGGGTTCGATCCCCAGCACCACCACAGGGGGAAAACAAAAAAAACAAAAAAAAAACAAAAGGTCTTCTCTCAAACACGATGTACAATTTGTATTATGGTGACTTCGATTTTTCTTGGTAGAAATTACTCTTCACATTGATTCTATAGCCATTAAATATTATTCAAATTAATGGGTGTATTTTAACTGAATTCTCATCCCACTTAGATACACACTATAATTCTTGAGAAATATATGCATACACATATTGCATTTTCCACTAACATTCCCTACCTAAATTTTATGGTCTAGACACAAGTAAATATTATCAGATCTTATTTAAAGCAAAAATCATGTCTGTGACATCAGTAACACAAAACTGTGCCACTTACTACTTTTTTGGTACCAAGGATTGAACCCAGGAGCATTTAACCACTGAGCCACATCTAGCCACCCCCCCCCCAACTTTTGGTATTTTATTTAGAGACAGGGTCTTGCTGAGTTGCTTAAGGCCTCGCTAAGTTGCTGGGGCTGGCTTTGAACTCATGATCCTCCTGTCTCAGCCTCCCAGCAGTGCCACCACACCCAGCACATCTTACTACTTTATTTTTCTTAAGTGTAAAAAGTTGCATGACAGATCTAAGTCTAATCAGCTATGGTTTCAATATCCTATTACTAGAAATATTGAATCCAATTTGCATTCTGTAGTGAGGTCACAATCTAAGCTTGTGACATGGTTAGGATATGGGAAAGACGCTATCATAAACAGAGCGTTAAGCTTTTATTGCAGGAACATACATTATCAAGAGATCAAAATTAGAACAACCTTTTGAAATTTAAGGGAGAAATTGTCATTATGAATATCAACTAACAAATCGAAATGTAAAAGGTCTACCCAGGACCTGACAGACCTCAGCACATTTGTCAACGGCAATACTTTCCCCTAATTTGTTTTAGTTCAGCTTCAGATTCCCTATTTGTAACCTGTAGTTTAAAATAAAAAAAGAGGGGCTGGGGTTGTGGCTCAGTGGTAGAGTACTTGCCTGGTGTATGTGAGGCCCTGGGTTCAAGTCTCAGCACCCCATAAATATAAAATAATGGTCCATTTACAACTGAAATAAATTTTATAAAAGAAAGAAAGGAAGAAAAACATCTCCCATCCAACTACAGAAGCATGTGGGTGTTTATTCCACCTACTTTCCACTTTCTCTAAGTTATTTTTTAACTATATCAATAAAATTTGGACTCCACCATCTAAAACTTAAAATATTACATTTATTACACATTTTATGATAGTCTCTTCCAACATTTCTGGATATAAATTGAAAACTGTTCAATACAATTGGTTACTTAATAAGATAGGGTAATTTACCAATACCCTGAAAACATTCCATTCTCCCTCCAAAATGCAAAGAGGAAAAGATAACCAGCAAACGTTTTTTCCCTACCACTTCGTTCTAAGGGATCAAGAATGCAACTGTACCTCACTTGTCTTTCTGTGCTGGATCAGCAGCTTCAAGTAGGTACTGCAAACACTGCAATTCACCAGCCCTTTCCAATAAAAGGCTGGCACATGCACTTTGATTACTTATGTAAACCCAAGCCCACAGGAGAAACAGACCACAGTGAAATTTACATTAAGATTTACTATAAAATAAAGTTGAGCTTTGGCTCAAAGACCATTTTGAAAGGCTAGGAAAAAGCAAAGCTTAAACAGCCTCTTGCGATTCAAGAACAAATCTACTGGGCAAGGTATAGCCCAAGGGGTTATGCACATCACTAGACAGTCCAGGATACAAAAACCCAATGTTTCTCTAGGACAAATCTTACAACTTTCACAATTTTTTGAGATTAATAAATGTTTCTATTACATGTCAAACCTGTTTGATATTTACACTAAGCATTCCACCTGTAACATTCAAACAAAATTAAAATGTTGAGGGTAGAAAAGCTCAGTTCCTATTAATAACCAACGCTTGAGAGTGGCTAACACCCACTACAAATTTAGTACAGTAACTACATAAATGAAATTAATGAGATGTCTGCTCCTGAAATTACATATTCTTGAAAAATACCTACAATGATAAAATTCCATTCTAACCACAAAATCAACTAAAGATCTTTAATAAAGAGCTCAAAAGCCAGACTGCCTAGACTGTGAACAACTGACAGGAAAAAGAGCTATAAGCGTGTGTACTAGATTACAATGTCAAGCGAAAGAAGTAGGTTGCAACCCAGTTTCTATCATTTAAGTTTAGAAAAATATAGAAAACACTACATTTTTTGCATATAAATTTATGTATATAAATGCACAGCGCTAACAGTAGGAAAAATTGGGGTTTCACTTAACCTCATACATTTTGAGACTTTGAATTTTTCATAATAAAAATACATTTTGAACTTTAAAAGGGCTAAAAATCAATATATTAAAAGCACTAACTGCAGTTTCACACTTCTTTTAGCATATTTTCATTTGTTAAAAAATACACTTAAAAAGCATGATCTTCCTCAATTCTGTTATTCCTATGAATCTAAATGAATTTGAGAAAAACACAGAGCATAATACAAAACGTGCAGTATATTTGGTCTCACTGTTTTGATACGGTCAGACACTGCGGTATCCAACAGCATTTTTTTTTTTTTTACAACTTTCAACATCTTTATTGTACTGACTTGATGATGCTCAAGCACGTTTCTGAACTTAACTTCTCACAAAGGTAAACATCACCTAGTTGCAAGCTCAAAGCCAGTAATTAGACCAGGAGCGTTCTCCTGGGCTGGATGCACAATTGTTATCAGGAATATGCCAATAAAGCTGACTCTAACTCACTTCCAAACACTCTTTCCGCAGGCCCACTACCTTATTTCAGGAGCACGGAGGACACAGGTGGAGGCCCGCCAACCCAGGCCCTGACGCAGTCCAGGTGAGACCTCGGGCTGCGGACAGCACCACGCAAGCCGCGCGTGGCCGCTCCGGTCGCCCAGGGAGCGCACTTGCTCCTCTGATCCGAAGGTTAAATGCGCTTTCCCTAGAGCAGCCTCGCGTCCACCACGAGTTACACATCCCACCAACACTCCAGGCGGCACTGGAAGACGGCACCGGCGGCACCTGGACCACCGCAAGAGCACCGGCAGAGGCGCAGAGCGCGCGGAGGCCGGGCCCCCTCCGTCACAGAGCCGAGCCCCGCCACCGCGCGGCTCCCGTTCCATCCGCGAGGCCGGCGGCGCCCCCTCCTTCCCATCAGGCTTCTCCGCCGCTCCCGACCCGCAACCCGCAGCGGCTGGGCGGAGGGCGGCGGAGGTCCTGCCGGCTCCAGCCCGCGGAGCACCCGGTGCTCGCCCAACGCGCCCCAGCAACTTGGCCGGAGTTGCGCAGGCCCAGCTGCAGGATCCGCAGACCCTCTCCGCTCAGGGTCCGGAGAGCGCAGGAGGGACGTGAGCCCGACCCCTCGCCCAGCCTGCCGGCCCCGCGACCCTCACTCCTGCCCAGCACCGCCCGAGCCCCTTCCCCAGGGAACCCGTCTCACAGCGAGGCGATGACCCCTCACTCTCCTTCCTCCCTCGAGCGCCGGGCCGGGCGGACGCCTACCGGGCTGCTGCGGGCCACCTCCGGGACTGTCCGGCGGCGCTCCAGCGAGGCTCTTGCGCTCCTTCTGCGACTCCCTGCGACCGCCCGCGCCGGGCCTGTGACCCGAGGCCCCAGCCGGGCTCTTTCCCCCGCGGCCACCGGCGGCCGCCGCCGCCGCCTCGTCGCGCTTCCTGCGCTGCAGCTGCTGCTGGCGCCGGCGCTCGGCCTCGCGCAGGATGTCGAACGGGTCCGACTCGTCGTCCAGCAGCTGATGGAAGCGGTTGGCTACTACGCAGCCGAAGCTCTCTTGCATCGCGGCGCCGGCGGCGGCCGCAGCCACAGGACTCCCCAGGGCGCCCTTCATGCCGCCGCGGCACTGCGGCCCGCCGCGCGCAGCCCACGCGCGCGAGTCTCAGCGAAGCCGGCGGCGAGGACCCATCCCGCTGCTGCCACCGCCCTCCCTGCCCTGCCCTGCCCTGCCCTGCCCTGCCCTGCCCTACCCGGCCCCGCCCGGCCCGGCCCTGCCCTCCGGGCCCCCGCCCGGCGTTGCCGCGGCCCGCCCCGCCCCACCGCCCTCCGACAACCAATCAGCGCGCGAAGACACGCCCCCTTCCCTATCCAGTAAGCCCTGACGCCCAATCACCGACCGGCGGCTGTCGCGTCACGCGACCTCTATGTCCCGCCCCCTCAGACTCGGAAGGGGGCGGGGCCAGGGGCGGAGCTACTAGGGAGACCCGGGGCCGCGGTGCCGGCGGTTCGGACGCCGAGCGGTCACCGCTACGCGTTGCTTCCGGGACTGGCTCCGCGCTCATTACCAGCCACACGTCGTTGAAGGTGGCTATTCCTTTAGCCGTTTGGGGGCTACGTATTGAACTCGTACTGTGCGCCAGGTATTGTGTCGGGGGGGATCCCACTCCGTGTTTTCCCGGACCTCAGGCTGGAGAGGGAAAGAAGGTGCGCTGGAGAGGAGGCACGGTTCTTCACGGCGCAAGGACCTGGCCTGCAGGAGGCCTTCCCCTAGGAAGTGACGGTTAAGCTGAGAGTGACAGGGGCCGGAGGGAGGCCAGTGCGGACGGCGGCGGAGCGCGGCCGCGCTGGCCCAGTGTTTGGGCAGGGCCTTACCTGCTCCCTTGTCGGAGCGTGGGAAGCTAGTGGGAAGCAGGAGCCCATTTGCGTTTGAAAAGGCCTCTAATGTGAAGGAATCCCACTGGAGGAAGGGGTCAAATGGATGCAGGGAGGCCAGCAGAAGATGGTTGCTGAAGTCCGGGGAAGAAGTGACGATAACAACTCGGACTAGGGTGATGGCAGCGTAAGTGAAGAGAGTGAGAGGACTCAAGAGCTGTCCGGGAGGTTCTATCAGCCGGCCCTGGCGTCGCGCCTACGTGTATGGGCGATGGAGAAGAAGGAACGGGGAAGGAGGGCTATTTTTCTGACTTGGGCCTTGGAATGGGAGTACTAGTCACAAAGAAAGCGAACACTGGAAGAGAAAATCGTGAGTTCAGTCCTGGCCATGTTGAGGTGTGTGTGTGTGTGTGTGTGTGTGTGTGTGTGTGTTTTGAAATATTCAGTTAAGTCCTGGAGCTCAGAATGCTGAATTGGACTTCCTCCAGGAAATCTTGCCCAGGCACAGGTACTCTTGGCTGCCCATGCTATAGTCATTCTCTCCCTCTTACATTTTCTAATCTGTTCGGGTATCAGGTGGCTGTAGGCCCCAGGGGAAGTGGGGCTCCTTCCAGCTTCAATCTTGATTAACCTTAAATCATTTATTGTAATTTCATTCCCTTGCCAGTGATTGCTGAGGAATAGTCTGTGTCACAGATCTGGCAGAACAGAGTAGAGGGGAAGTATTCTGGTAAACTTTGTCTTGCACCTAAACAGGAATTAAGAAAGAATCCCTAGGTGGTGCACACCTGTAATCCCAGCAGTGCAAGAGGCAGAGGCAGGAGGATGACAAGTTCGAGGCCAGCCCCAGCAGTTTAGCAAGTCTCTAAGTAATTTACTGAGACCCTATTGCAAAACAATAAAAAAATAAAATAAAAAGGACTAGGGATGTAGCTCAGTGGTAAAGTGGCTCTGGTTCAATCCCAAGTACCAACAAAACAAAACAAAATCTTTCCCACAGCTTCCCCACTTTTGCACTTTGGTCCTTACTGAATAGGGAGGACAAGTGCTTGGAGTTAGTTGCTGCTTCTTGTTGTGACAATAGGATGGATAAGCCCTAGGTCCTTGACATTGTTAAGCCACTGACTTGGCTCATTTAGGAACCCCTCTACCTCAGACATCACTATATAAGATGATCAATGCATGAATTGTTGAAGCTATTCTGAGTTGTGTTTTTTTTTTCCTTGTATCCAAAAACAGCCTTTTAGAGCATCTTGCTTAGGTGCTTCTTGACCACTTTTGACATACCTTCAACAGCAAATGAAATTTTTAATCCTAAATATTGCAAAACTCTATGTTTTATTCACTTATTCAACTGTCATTCTTGAGGAGGTCAAGGATGATTTCTTGTCTCATTTGTTGCAATTTGTATTCTCAGGGCTTGGCACTCTGGCACCTATACAGTGGGTTCTCAGTAATATATGATGAATGACTGAAGATTTCAAGATATTTAGTCATTTCTTTCTTTGAATCAACAGATTTCTACCCAAAAGAATTGAAAGCAGTTATTCAAACAAAAACTTGTACTAGTATACAAAGACAGTGTTCACAATAGGCAGTGAATGGAAACAACTCAAAAGTACATCAGCCGATGAATGGATATATAAAATATGGTACAGCAGATGATTATTTGGCCATCAAAAGGAATGAAGCATTGATGCTACAACATAACATGCTACAAGAGAAGCAGACCTTGAAAACAGTAAGTGAAAGAAGCCAGAAGCAAACGGCTGCATATGGTTTCATTTGTAAGAACTGTCCGGAATGGGCATATACCAGGGGCGAGATACCATCTAGGAGATGTTGGAGAATAACACAGGGTTAAATACAGGGTTTCTTTTAGGGCAATGAAAGTGTTCTGAAAATAGTGGTAATAGTTAACAAAATTGTGACTGTACTATATGCCACTGAATTATATACTTTAAAATTGTAAAAATAATGGATTTTATCTGTTTACCCCAATTTAAGAAAAATGAAAACAAAAAGTGTGTACTTTGGAATTAGATCAGTCCCAATTGTACCATTAATTAACTCTGTGACCTTGGACATGCTCATTTCTGTGCCTCAGTTTTCTCATCTGTAAAATGGAGACATCATGGTCTCTACCTCTGCAGGTTGTTGTAAAGACTGAGTGGGATAATGCATGTCATTCAGCACAGTGCCTAGAACAGACCAAGTCCTCAGTCAGTCATTGTTATCATCATCATTATTAGTATCATCATCATCGTCATCATCTTGTATCAGGTTCAATAGCAAGTAGAGCCATCTCTAGAAATTTCCAAATATTCTTAGTGCACCAGCATCACTGCATGTATGCAAGATCACAGTTTGAAAAACATTGCTTCAAGCCAGTGTTGTCTCTGACATCTGTAAGCAGTCTGTCACCAAATGACAAGCACCATGAAACCATTCCACTTGAGAGGAGGGCATGTGTCTTCCCGCTGGGCCTCTGGACCAGCCCACTCCTGACTTTCAGCTTTCTTTCCAGCAGAGCCAACCACTGTAGTTTTCAAGATGTGTCCTATGACCCTCCATCCTGATTTCCAAATCATGGATGTCCCAAACACTTTAAAGTGCTTAGAGCCACTAACATACAGATGAGTGGTTGCTAGCTGGTATTAGCTGGCCAAAGGTATTTTTTTCTTTATTTTTAAAGATTTTTTATGTTAGTTGTATATGGATATAGTATGCTTTTTTTGTTTTGTTTTTTGATACCAGGGATTGAACTCAGGGTCACTCAACCACTGGGCCACATCTCCAGCCCTATTTTGTACTTTTTTTTAGAGTCAGAGTTTCACTGAGTTGCTAAGCGCCTTGCCTTTGTTAAGGCTGCCTTTGAATTCTTGATCCTCCTGACTCAGCCTCCAGAGCTGCTGGGATTATAGGCATGCACCACCATGCCTGGCTTCTTTATTTATTTTTATGTCATGCTGAGGATCAAACCCAGTACTTCACATGTGTTAGACAAGCACCGTAAAACCGAGCTACAACCCCAGGCCTGTCCATAGATTTCTGAAGGAGCTTTTTACAGCACATCTAGGGTAATGTATTAAGCACCCTCACATTTTTCATCAACCATTTTCCTACTGAAAGATTGCATCCTTCAGTGCATTTCTGAAATACAACTCTACCATACTAGCACGAGTTGTTCACAACACCACTTTCTAAAAATCCAAGGTAAGAAAATAGTCTTTAGTGAAGAAAAATGAAGCACACCAAGAAAAGCAATGAAAGGTGGATGCTGCACAAATATACTAGCAGCCCTTGTGTGCTTATGGGATGTCTTTGTGTGTACAACAGTGGTTATTTATTACCACCAGAGGAAATGCAGTGAAGCTTAACCACATACCAACTGTAAATTAATCTGAGTTACTCAATAGAGTAATTACATTAGAAATAATTTAAAATGCACTAAAGTCTTCCACACTCTCTTAAAATTCACAGAACAAATCAATTTAGAGTTTCAAAGTTTGCTTGTTTTCAATAGCATGCAGGGAGCAACACCTAGGTAAAGGCCAAGCAGGAGGGGCTGGGCCAGACTGCACTGAATGCAAGTTTTTTGTTAATTGCCAAAGAACTGCACACCACCTATTCTGTTTTGCCACAAAATTACTGCTGTTGATCCTTTTTCCTCTATAAAATTAGACTGATTAGTCTGGGCGTGGTGGTGCATGCCTGTTATCACAGTGACTCGGGAGGCTGGGGCAGGAGGATCATGGGTTCAAAGCCAGCCTTAGCCATGGTGAGGTGCTAAGCAACTCAGTGAGACCCTGTCTCTAAATAAAATACAAAATAAGGATGGGGATGTGGCTCAGGAGTCGAGTGTCCCTGGGTTCAATTCCTGGTACCCCTCCCCAACCCTCCAAATCAGGATGATTATAGTTCATCTTATGTGATTGAAGAGAAGACGAAAACAAAGAAGTGAATTGAAAAAGTTCAAAAAATGTTTTATTGAATAATTGTTTCTAATTATATGATATATGCAAGAACAAAAATATTTTTCCTAACTCTTAAGGCGTCTGGCTCTGTTGCCCAGACTGACCTCACACTTTCGAATTTAAATGATATTCTTGCCTCAGTGTCCCAAGTAGATAAGACTTCAGGTGCCCAGCAGCATACCTTGCCTGGTCTGTCTTTTATGCCAATTGAGTTGATGAGGACAAGATCGATGAAGTTATAGGTCCCAGTTTAGCTATTCCAAGGTTGATCAATGAATTCAAGTTCAGTTTGTCACAACAGGTGAATAAAGCAAGTACATAGTCCCAAGGGCAGGCACTGGGGACCATGAACCATTAGTTCACAATTGGGATGCTGCAGGCGAACTCCCAGCAAGCTGGAATCCATTTATCATGACCAGACACAGAAGGTCAGAATCAGGAAAGGGCCTCTACCCCCACCTGGCACTGCCTCCCTCCTGTGTGGTTGAGGTTCTCTCAAACTTTCTTATGACAAAGTGTCACTGTCTAGCATAGTGCTTTGTACTAGCAAAGTGCTCAAAGCAATGACAACATTAGAAGTTTTTATTCTTTCAAATTCCTTCTATTAAAAGGTTGATCTTCAGTTGTAACTTCAATTGAGACTAAATAAAATAATTTGGGATTTAGAACCTGTTAGTCAACTATTCATTATTTTGACAAGTAACAAAAAAAAAAACAACTTAGGGAGGAAAGATTTATTTTGGCTCTGGGTTTCCCCAGTTGACCAGCTCCATTGCTCTGGGCCCAGGTGAGGCAGCACATCATGGCAGAGGGCCTGGCTGAGGAAAAGTATTTAACTCATGGCAGCAAGAAACAAAGTGAAAGAGAGGAGAAGGGGTCAGGTTAAGAAATGCCCTTCCCTGCCAGGCATGGTGGTACACGCCTGTGATCTCAGCCACTCAAGAGGCTGAGGCAGGAGGATCTCAAGTTCAAGGTTAGCCTCAGTAACTTAGCAAGGTCCTAAGCAACTTAGTGAGGCCCTGTATTAAAATTATAGATAAAATGGACTGGGGATGTCACTCAGTGGTACCTACCCCAACCCCAGTTCAACCCCAAGTGCCAAAAAAAAGAAAGAAAGGAAAATACCCTCTCCAGGCACACCCCCAGTGACCTACTTGCACCAACCATTTCTCACTGTGGACAGTTTCCACCAATTCCCAAGAGTCCTTTCAGCTGTCAGTGAATTAATCCATGGACGAGGCCAGAGCCCTCCCGACTCCACCACTTCCCCAAAGCCCCACTTCTGGACATGGCTGCATTGGGGACCAGATCTTCAACCCATGAGCCTTTGGGAACATTCCAGGTCAAAACCATGACAAGCACTTCTTATTTTCTCATTTATCCTGGATATCTTTCTGAATGAAGAACAGAAGACCCATCTGGAAGAGGGAAAGCAAAGACCGTTGGCTCAAGAAGAAAGTCCAAAGGTGAAATTGGTGAGAGTAGATCAGGGATGAATCACAGGGAGACCTGACCCATCTCTCTGCCTCCTCGTTACTCTGCTTTATTTTCATAGGTGTTTGCTTCACTTTTACCAGTTTCTCTCCTCTGATAAGCCCTGTTGTGCCATGAGGAAGCCTTAGTTTGAACCCCAGCAGGAAAAGAGAGAGGGCTTTCCTTTCAAAGCTTGCTGACTCTGACCTATCTTGGGTGACAGGTTCACCATGGAGCCATCGCGGTAGCAAAGGGCATCTGATTCCTTGGTCAGGCAGGCCCAGGTCCCATCCAGGCAGGAATCTGATTGGAATCAGCCTCCCATGATCCACTGGGACTGGTAGCTGATGTGGGGGCCGGTGGAGTTTCCCTGGGGAAAATAAGCTTTCTAATAACAACAGGTAGGAAGAGATGCTGGGCAGATGACCAGAACTCCCCACAGGCCGTGATCTGCACAGACATGTCGCTGCTGTGCCCCTTGCGGCCTTGGACGGCATGACCCTGTTATAATTCTTCCTCCTCCTTTCTCTTCCTTAAGGTCAGAAATCACTAGCTCATTTCTGAATCCCTTGCTTCCCTTCTTCCTAGCTTCATCTGCAGTTCTAGGACAGACACCTTTCATTCAGTAACTACCTGTTGCTTGGATGAACGAGTTTCTTGTTTGTATACGTGTACTCACAGTAAATAATTTTGCATGTGTTAAAAATGAAGTCAAGGGCTGGGGCTGAGGCTCAGCTGTAGCATGCTTGCCTGGCATGTGTGAGGCACTGGGTTTGATTCTCAGCACCGCATATAAATAAATAAATAAAGCTGTTTCAACAACTAAAAAAACATTTTAAAAAATGAAGTCAAAGTGCAACAGATGAATTGATGAGAAATACAAGTCACCGGATCAAATGGATGTGATACTATTTAATTTTTCTGATTACATTTGCTAGTAATCACAGCGGAATATTATCATTTACTAGGTGCCAGCCATCATTCTAAGCATTTGTCTAGCCCATGACCAGCGCTGGCTTCATGAAAGAAGGTTTGAATTGTGAGAAAACGCTAGGGAGTTTTAAATTAAAGAGACAAGACTCTAATTACCTTTAAAATCAGCTCCAGGACGGCTCCTCCCAGCTCCAGCCTCAAGCCACCAAAAGTGGTATCGAGAGGTTTACTGAAGAGGCTAGTGAGAGAGAGCACTCCACGGAGTGGGCTTTTATTGGGAAACAAAAAATGCTGGGGAAAATCCCATCCAATGAAGGTTAAAGGGGGCACCATCCCAAGGTCAGGGGCGATGATTGGGTCTTTGGGGCAGTGGCCAGACACGCCTCTGCAGGGACAAGCCCTCAGACCTGGAGAAGGGTGGGCAAAGCTCTGACACAGCTGTGTCTAAGCGCCTCTCACCCAGCCAGGGAGGTAACTCAAATCACATTCGAGGATGGCCTCCCACACATTTGCTCTCTGTTTAGACCTCACACCAACCTGATGACATAGGGGGATGAGTGTCTCTTTAAGTGGGAGAGCGGGCTCAGGGACGTAGGCGTCCTGGCTTGAGTCAGCTCTCATAATGCTTCGCTGCTAATATTCACTGTGCTAAGCACTGGGATTTGCATAGGCAATAATCACTCTCCTTAAAGACCAATATAAGCCAGGGACAAACAATTTTGTGCACTTTTGACATTAGTTCACAGAAAAGCCCTAAGGGGTGGGGGTTATGTGAGGATCCATAATTATATCACTAATCAAAATCACATGAGGGATCACTTAGGCCCTAGTTGGGGCAGGCGGTATACTTAGATGTCCCAAAATACCGTTCTGCAGGGTGAAAACTAAGTTGCGTCCATGCTAAGACTGGACTAAGATGTCAAAATAAGGCTGTTCTTCTACTTATATTTCAGAAATGTGTTCCAAAGTAAGCTAACTTTTTTTTTCCCTAAGTAAGTTCTGTGGGCCAGCAGGTCCCTCCCACCCAGAGCTTGTTAGAAATGCAGAATTTCAGGCCCATGTTAGAGCTACACGATCAACATTTGCACCTTACGACATTCCTAGGAGATGCCTGTGCAGAGGAAAAGTTGAGAAACTCTGAACTAATGTGAAAACAGAGTCAGCCATTGCGTCTGTGGGTGCCATGCGACGGAAGCTTGCTCATCCATGGCTGAGGCAGGTTACCTTATCTGGTACCTGGAACATTTGAGGTGTTCAGCCAGGGGAGTAGCACATGACTAAAAAGAGTCCAGCCAACCAAGAGGGACAGAGAGTCTTTGGCTGGAGCACAGGCCCATGTGTTCTGGGCCTCCTGACTATCCTGCCACTTCTCAAGTTGAGAGCTAGAGAAAGCCAAAGCCTAGCAGCCAGTAAGGTAAACAAAACAGAAAGAACACCTGGAGCTAAGACCGTGGAGGGAAAAGCAAGCCTCCCCAGAACCAGGAGGGAGCAGCTCTTTCCCTTGCTCCCTCTACTGGCAGGGCTTCACCTCCCTCTACTGGCAAAGGAAACTATTTAAAAGGTTCAGATCCTTTTCACAGAGCAGGCAATGAAGGGTGGACTGTCAGGGGATATCTTTTTCTCTTTTGGAACTTTGGGGATGGGCTACGGATTGATCCTAGGGTCTTAAGCATGGTTAAGTGCTCTACTACTGAGCTACATCCCAGCGCCTCCTGTTTGTGAATTTTATTTGAGACAGGGTCTTGCTAAGTTGCGCAGGCTGGTCTTTGAACTTGTGGTCCTCCTGCCTCAGCCTCTGAGTGGCTGGAATCACAGGAGTGTGCCACTGATATCTCAATAAGGGCACATCACAGTGTATTTTACCAGTTTCCTACTAATGGACATCATGGCATGTTCCATTTTTCACCTTTCTCAACAAAACTTCTTAGAACGGCCCTAAGCATATTATTGTCACACTTGAAGGATTATCTCAAGAGAATTTTCAGTTGAGGAAAAAAACATGAAGAGATCTGTATTCCATTCTTGGGTTAATCAAAGTAAATCTTGGGCTGAAGTCGTCTGGGGAAAATGTGGACGTTAGTGGCTGCCTGGATTACTCAGAGAGGGCCAAGGGCTTTATTTTTACGTGGCCTCTGCTGCTTCCTTAATAATCTGCAGAACAAGGACAACTTCTGTTTAAGAAGTCTTCAGAGGCCTGAAGCTTCATCTCCCATGTGAATGTCATTGAAGCCCAAACTCCTGCCATTCAGGCCTCCGCCAGTGTAACCTCCCCTCCCCTCTCACCCGGGGGACCATCCTTGCTCTTTGAACTTCTTTATTTGGCACCTGAGGATCCTGTCTTTCCCCTTGAAAGATTAACTTATTTCCCTTGGGAATATTTTAAAATTTGTATTGCTAGATAAGACCCAGTATTCAGCCAGGTGTGGTGGCGCACACCTGTAATCACAGTGGCTCAGGAGGCTGAGGCTAGACTCAGCAACTCAGTGAGGCCCTAAGCAACTCAGTGAGACCTTGTCTCAAAATAAAATACAAGAAGGGCTAGAGATGTGGCTCAGTGGTTAAGCACCCCTGGATTCAATCCCTGGTATCAAAAAAATGACCCAGTATAGGTAAATGTTTATAAACAACAACAACAAAAACCTCTAGGGAGCCCTGTTTTCTGCACAGAAAGTTTGTCTTCCCCTTCCCCATTCCTAGTTCTGATCTAGGAATCTTTCACATTCGCCCTGTACCCTGAAGTATATTGAAGATATACCTCAATCCATTAATTAACTGGGCACGAACATTATGCCATGCAAACCTCACAAGAATCCTAAAGGATAACCTTATGACCATTTATATACAAGGAATCTATGGCTAAAAGCCTGCCAGCTTTGTCTGAGGTCACAGAGGTAACAAGTAGTACACTGGAATTTGAGACCAGGTTCCTCAAGTCCAATCTGCAGGAACCACCATGTTATAGAAAAATATATAACTTAAGAGGAGAAGGGCCCAGTAGGCTTGCTGATCTGTGTTGGCTGAGAGGGCCTCAACATGCCCCGTCATCTCCGAAGGCCCCTGTGGAAGTCCCTGTGTGTTCAGGCCCTGCTGGCTGGCCTTGCTGGGGCCCTTGTCCTGGACACCTGACTCCTCTCTCCCTCACCCGAGGCTCCCTCCTAAGCCCTGTCTCCTGAAGGCATTGCTCCCCTGTTGGAGGTAACCAGGGCAGGGCAGCGGGTGCTCTGAAGGGATGGAGCCGCTCTTCCCAGAGCATCTCTCAAGACAGGAGATTCCACCTTCCCGGGCACCAGCTGCAGATGTGACATAGAGGTGCAGGACTATGGGTCCCCAGCAGGAGCTGCCTACCCTTTTGCTTGCTTACGTTTTTTATTATTATTATTACAGATTTACAGAAAGACACACACACGTGTGTGTACGTACTTATGAAGAACCTCAAACATCATCAAAATGTGTAACAAGAAAATCCTCATAGAATGCACCCCCAATGATCACTAACAGTTGGACACTTTATTTATTTATTTTAGTTGTGGATGGACCCAATATGTTTATTTTTATTTATTTTATTTACAATTCAACTCTTCAGACAGAGGGCAGAGAATAATGCATTTTCTGTTATATCATTTTACTCCTTTTTTTGTATTTTTTTTTAGCTGTAGGTGGACACAATACCTTTATTTTATTTTTATGTGCTGCTGAGAATTGAACCCAGGGCCTCACGCATGCAAGGCAAGTGCTTTACCACTGAGCCTCAGCCCCAGCCCCTGACATATTATTTTGTTATTAAAACAAAACTAATGGTGCTGGGTGCAGTGGCACATGCCTGTAATCCCAGTGGCTTAGGAGGCCGAGGTGCGAGGACAGCTAGCTCCAATCCAGGGTCAGCAAGTTAGCAAGGCCCTAAGCAACTTAGCAAGACCTTGTCTCAACATAAAATATTAAAAAAAAAGTCCTGAGGATGTGGCTCAGTGGTTTAGCGCCCCTGGGTTCAATCCCCGGTACCAAAAACAAACAAAAATAACTAATGGACTTTTTTTTTTAGAGCAGTTTCTAATTCACAGCAAAACTAAGCAGAAAGTGGAGTTCCCATGCACTGCCACCCACACAGGAGCCTCCACACCAGCAACAGCTCCGCACCCCCAGGGTGGTGCGTGTTGTCCCGGGGGCACCTACACTCACACGTGGCCGTGGTCTCCTTCAGTACTGGCACTTGGTGTTTGGGTTTGGACAGATGTGTGGTAACACCCATCCACCATCACAGTGTCACACACAGGAGCTTCGCTGCCCTAAAAACCCTCTGTGCTGCCCTGTGCATCCCTGTCTGCCCTGGCAACCGCGTTCTCACTGTCACTGCAGTGTGACCTTCCCCAGTTTGTGATACAGTTGAGCTCATACACAATGCAGCCTTTTCAGATTGACATTATTTTTATCATTCTTAGAAGTTTTTGTCCCTAAGTACACACTGTTATTTGATGAGTATTAATGAATCAGATAAGGAAAATAGCAAACATATTGTTTAGCAGCCTTGTTCATTTTTGTGTGCTGGGGTGCTCAGGAGTGCTCAACCACTGAGCCACATCCCCAGCCCTTTTTGTTGTTTGATTTGAGACAGGGCCTTTAAGCTGCCCAGTTAGCCTTGAACTTCCTGCCTCAACCTACCTGCTGAGTTGCTGGGATTACAGGCGTGCCTCACCATACCCAGACTGTTCAGTAGTTTTCTTAAGCTGACGCTGTGTAAATCTTGGTATATTTTCTTGTCAGTGTATATAAGAGATAATAATGGTAATAGCAGTAACAGCTAACCATTGAACATGTACTATGTGCCTTGTACTTTCTGCTGTAAGTGTTCTCCATGTGTGATGTGGGCTGAGCTGGGTCCCCCTAAACTTCATATGCCGAGGCCCTAACCCCCAGGGTTTCAGAGTGCAGGGGGAGAGGGAGCCTTGCAGAGGTGATGATGTCAGTATGGTGACCGGTAATCAATGTGACCGGCGTTCTTGTGAGAGGACGGGAGCGTAGGACAGAGACATACACAGAGCAAAGGTCATGTGAAGATGGGGGGAGAAGGTGAGTGTGCAAGCCACCACCTCAGGAGAAACAGCCCTGCCCACCCCCATGGAGACCGCCAGCCTCCAAACTGGGAGGAAATCAGTTCTGATGTTCAAACCTCCCAGTCTTGACTTGGCTCTGGAGTCTCCAGAAGATGAATATAAATGTGTAACCCGTGTTCTCAGCTCAGCTTCAACAGGTAGGAACTCTGGTCCCTGTTACCAGGGAGGAGCCAGACACGAGAGACTAGAGAACGTCCCAAGGTCTCCCATGCTATCACAGCAGGAGAGACTAAGTCACAGTTCTGGTCCTCGCAGTGCAGCGGGCTGGGCCAGGGCATGTGTTCTTCAGAGTCCCTCCGGCGCAGGCTGAGGGAGCGCCACACCAACAGCTTCCATGTCCCCAGGCGGAGGACCTCGCATTGGCCTGCCCATCACTCCACTTAGTCACCCCCATGACCGCAGGTCATAAGGCCCCACGTCACATGAAGGCATGTTGAAGCACAGCCCGCCATCTACCCAGAGGAAGAGGACTGGGACATGCCATCGTGAACAGCACGTGGCACCACACAGGGCAGAGGAGGGACGTGGGTAGGTGAGGTTCACACTGATGCTCATTCTAGATTCTTTTTTATGCATTTCTTCCCCTACCTGGTGCTCACTGGTGTCCTGCCACTATAAGAAAACAATCATTATGCGCACAACACCTTCCCGAGGCCCGGGGAGTCACTCTAGTGAATAGTCAAACCTGAGGGCGGTTGTCAGGAACCCCCGGTCTGTAGTCACTGGTATTGAAGGGGCCCCTGAAAATCCCCGCAATATGGCTGATATCTGAAATAAAGATGGTCTTGGTACCTTCGACCTTGAAATCTTGCAAACTCATTGTGCTTGGTGTCAGAAGTCTTGGTACGCCAGGCTGTCTGGGGGACTGTGCCCTTAACCTTGAGCTGGCCCAACTCACATTTCTTGCGGGGTCTCCAGCTTTACTCTCTGGTTTTTCCCGCTCACTCTTACCCCCATCAGATGCTCCCTAAAGTACTGTGTCTCTTGGACGCCCCTGGCTCCTTCACGGCTCAGCGACCTCACACATGCCATTTCTTTTGTGTAACTTGGTTTTCCTGGGCTGCTCAAGGTGACTACTCATCATTCCTGATTATCTCGGAAGTTTCCTTCACCCAAGGTTGCTCTTTCCTCCACCGCTCGCTCGGCGTTCCTTAGTTCCTCCCTTCCACCTGCGACTGCAGTGCTTTGTACCAGCTTGTGTTGTGGCCTTTCTGTTTGGTTACTGTTACTGTTTGGATCTGGAGTATCCCCTACAGCCCACGTGTTAGGCAGTGCAGCCGTGTTCAGAGATGAGAGGATTAGGTCACGAGGGCTCAGCCTCAGCAGTGGATTAATCCACCTGATGGTTTAGCAATTTTGAATGGTGGTGGTAAAAAGGATAGGCAGGTGGGACATGGCAGGAAGTGAGACATGGGGGGCATGTGGCCTTGGGGACCATATCTGCCCTTTCTATCTCCTCCTCTGATTCCTGACTGCCATGAGTTGAGAGTTTTCTGCCATGATGTTCTGACCAGACACAGAGCTGGCAACCATGGATTGTATCCTCTGAAATCATGAGCCAAAAGAAATCTTCTTCCTCTAAGTTGTTCTTGACAGAGATTTTGGTCACAATGATGAAAACCTGACTAGAGCATTTATCTAACAGGAGCAAATACTCCCTATCAATGCAGAGTGAGAAGGTGTTCAAGGGATCGTAAAGGTGGCTCACAATGACCATGTCCCACTGAACCCATGAACAGGTGCTCCTTGACTTGTAATGTCTTTATGCCCCAATAAAGTCATTGTAAGTTGAAAAATACGAATGCATTGAATACACCCAGCCTTCTACAACCATAGCCAAGCCTACATCAAATGTGCTCAGAATGCTTACAACAGCCTACAGTTGGACAGAATCATGTAACACAAAGCCCATTTTACAAGAAAGTATTGAATATCTCATGCAATTTGTTGAATATTGTACTGAGAAAGTGCCGCAGTCTGGCTGGGCACAATCAGGAGCCACTTGTCAAAAGAAACTAACTTTATTTTTAGAACCACACACGCCAAACAAAACAGCCTCTCAGGAAAAACCCTCAGAGCCTCAACTGCCACCACCGGCTTTCCCCAAGCCTCTCTCTCCCACACAAGCTTCTCTCCACCTCCCACAATCCTCCTGCTCTTGAGGCCGATTGGCTGGGTCACGTGGGCGGAGCCAAAAAAGTCCCCCAATGAGCAGCTCCGTGGTCTGAAAGGGCAGGGAAACAGCCCAATGAGCATCACCGCAGAGGAGCCAATCAGCTAGATGTTGCTGGGGCCGAGGAGCCAATCAGCTAGATGTTGCTGGGGCCGCTGTGAGCCAATCATCAGCCAGCAGCTGGAAGTTTGCTGGCAGCTGGAAGTTTGCTGGGGCCCCTTTGGCTGTGGCTCTCAACAAGAAAGAAAAGCAGAATGGTTGTATGGATATGCTCTGCATCACCATGAAGTCAAACAATCCTCTCAGACCATCATAAGACGGGGGCCATCTGTGTATGTGCAGTCCCCACCGTCACTGAGGGACTGCCATGACTTGTGTTAACCAATAGAACATAGTGGAAATAATGTGCCAATTCTAGGGCCACCAATTAAGAGGGATGCCAGCCTCTGCTTCATTTTCTTGGACTTGTCCTTGGCACCCAGCTGCCATGCTGTAAGGAAGCCCAGGCAGCCATGTGGAGAGACCATGTGGAGAGAGAGAGCCCAGGCTCTCTGGGAGGGAGAAAGGTTTAGAGGTTCCTTCCTGCCTCACTGGAAAGCTTACAGATGATGTCAGCCCCTCCTGCCATCTGTCTGCAACTGCCTGTGACACACAAGACCAGCAAATCAACCCTGAGGATCACAGGATAATGACATGGTTGTTGTTTCAAGCCACTGAGGTATGGGTTTGGAGCCCATTAGGTGGGTAAGTCATCCACATAAAAATAGTCGGTATTTCTGGGTATGGTGGCACACACTTGTAAACCCAGTGACTCAGAAGCTGAGGCAGGAGTATCACAAGTTCCAGACCAGCTTTAGCAACTTAGTGAGACCTTGTATCAAAAAATAAAAGGGGGTTGGAATGTGGCCCAGCAGTAGAGCACCCCTGGATTCAATGCACAGTACCCCCCACCCACCCACACAAAGATCCTCATTGCTTGGCTATTCTATTCCCATAGCACAGACAATAATACAAGAGGAAAGTAGATGAACATTGTGAACAAGAAATATGCTCTCCTTATCACAAATGGCATCTCAGCTCAACAAATGCTGTTATGGTTTTGCTATGAGTTGTCTTCCAAAAGCTCAGGTGTGAGACCACGCAAGGAAGTTCAGAGGTGAAATGATTGGGTTAGGAGAGCCCTAACCTAATCAGTGCATGAATCCCCTGATAGGGTGAGCTGGTTGGTAACTGGAGGCAGGTGGGGTGTGGCTGGGGGAGGTGGTCCCTGGGCCTGTGCTTTTGGGGTGACAGAGTTATTTCTCCCTCTGCTTCCTGGGGCCATGTCTCCAGCTGTTTTATCACACCCTTCCGCCATGATGTACTGCCTCATCTCAGGCCCCGAGGAATGGAGTCGGCCATCTGTGGACTGAGACCTCTGAAACCGTGAGCCCTAAAATGAACTTTTCCTCCACTGTTCTAGTCAGGTCTTTGGGTCCCATTAGCAAATAAGCTGACTAAAACAAATGTTCAGCTGAAAAGATATCTCTGCTGATTGTTGTTCTCTTGCCAATTAAAATTCTCAAGGCTCTCATGATGTGTAGTTTAATAAGCCCTAGAGGTAAAAATCCAATTTATTAAATAACAAAAATTAAAGCATCTATGTGAGGAATATGTAATAAGATGAATAAATAAAATAATATTTTATTTTTAAACAATATTTGACCTTGGTTAGGCAAGGGAGACATAGCAGACTTAACTATTTGTTAGTTAATTTTAATTAAATTTAATTAAAATTAGTTTTAGAAATACAAAATACCCTTTTTACTAGCTACCAGATCTGGGGGAAATGCTGAGATCTGTCAGCCATCCTGTGGATCATTTGAGGATGAGGGGATTTGTTTTTTCTTTTACACTTTCAAGAATGACAAAGGATTCTCTTTCCTGCCCCAGGGCCTTTCTACTTACTCTTTGCTCTACTTGGAGCCAAAGCTTCCATAATATGGCTCAATCTCTAAATTCTCTTAGATTCTTCTAGATTCTTCTCAGACATCTCCTTATCAGAGAGACTTACCCTGTCCATCCTATTTAAAGACCCCCCATGTCCCATTCTTCCTCTATGTCCATTGTCCACTGTGCGTATTTGTGCTTGTTGTCTCTTCCCCTCCACTAGAGGGAGCTCTCTGAGAGCAGAGGCCACTTGGTTCACTGCTACATTCTCAGGGCTGACAGCAGACTGGTCCATACTTGGTGCTTAATCAATATTTGTTGGATGAGTGGAGGCGTGGGTGGAAATCTTTATGAAATGGAAATGTTAAGTAATACAGTGTCCTCAGCATCAAAGATCATTTCTGTTGTTAGGGCTAAGTCTTTAAAAGTGGCTAGGTTTGCTGGGTGTGGTGGTGCATGCCTGTTATCCTGGTGACTCTGGAGGCTGGGCCAGGAGGATTACAAGTAGACACCAGCCTCAGCAAATTAGGGATGTATTCAGCAACTTAGACCCCATCTCAAAGTAAATAAAAAGGTTCGAGGATGGAGCTCAGTGGTCCAGTGCCTTGGGGTTAAGTCTCCAGTACAAACAAACCCAACACTGGATTGTTTTCACTCGCATAACGTCTGTGTCCAACATCGCACACTCCGATGAGGCATGCTGCCAAAACCTCTCACAGGGAAGGTTCAGGCTCGGGCCAGTTCTGTGGCACAAAACGAAGAGGAAGGAACTTGGATCCAGTGCTAGACTCACCTCATACGGGCCACACAGCTGCAGCGAAGCCGTTTCATCTCTTTGAAAAAATCTTTTTCTTTAGTTATAAAGTGCAAACACAGCACCAAGTCTGCCTGTCAGGGATGGTGAGAGGCTGGATAGAAAACAGAAGTGCTTAAACGCCTAAAGAGCCTCGTGAAAGTGTTAGGAGTTGGGAGCACGTGAAGCAGTCGTTGCCCGTCTGCTCTGGAGACCTGGTGCGACCTTCGAAGCCTACATCTGAGCTGCTAGAGCGACCTCGGCAGTCCAGGGGTGGGGGACAGCGGGTGCATGAAGACACTGCTCACCCGGGGATGCATCGTCTCTACACTGTACCTCAGATGCCCATGGAAGCTTCGAAAAAAAATCGCTGGCTCCAGTTGCATCTTGACAGGCTGATGAATATCACAGGGCGCTGATGGGCCACCAACTCCACAGAATCGCCACCTGGAGGTTAGGAAGCACCCTGCCTGTGTCTGTGTCCCTTTGGGGGCCTTATTCTTTTGCTCATATTGCTTTTTGAAAAAGTCTATCGCCAGAGGTGGTGATGCAAGCTGTGACCCCAGCAGCTCAGGAGGCTGAGGCAGGAGGATCACAACTTCAAAGCCAGCCTCATTTACTTAGTGAGATGCTAAGCAACTCAGTGAGACCTGTCTCTAAATGAAATATAAAAAAGGGCTGGGGATGTGGCTCAGTGGTTAAAGACCTCTGGGTTCAATCCCTGTCGTAATGAATATTTCCATCTTACAATATTCAAATAATATGAAAACATAGCAAAAAAAAAATACCACCAAAACAAAAACCCCCAAAATACAAAAAAGAAAAAAAAAACAAACCCCAAAATGAAGAAAGTCCTTTCCTTGTCTTTATTCCTCATATTAAGCATCTCTTAAAGTACACTCATTTTTTTT